GTCCGGTATCGCCATTTTAAAACTCTACCGTGGTGGTTACACATATGAATATAAGGTGCTTCTTACTACGTAATAGAGAGCACAACTTTTTTTATGAACTACCCAATAATATTAATTTTAGAGTCTATTGTAATATAGAATATTAGTGTTAATTTACGTTTACTACTTCCTCCGTTCCTCACTACCAATCATCTGAAGGTAAGAATTGAATATTACCTACCGAGATATTTAAATTAAGAGAGTTTATACTGTAGAAATTAAGTTTGGAATCATTATTCTAAATATAAATCCAAACCAGCAGTTCCGAAGACAATCACATTTAAACAAACAAAAAGACTCTGCAGCATTACAATATTACTATAAATAACATGACACATAACATGAAAACATAAATTCATTGTCATTAGCTCGTGACTCACAAATTTTTATCGTTTAATAATATCAAATACATTTTCTGTGATAGCTTCAGTGTCGCGTGTGTACGATTCTTTACATGACCGTAGCGTAGGCCTATAAGTGGAGCCGCTACGAACTACCGACTACGAATAGTCGTTGGGCAGACGTTACACACTAAAAACACGAGCGCTCTGTCATATTTTCTCATTTATTAAAAAAAAAGGTATTTATTAAATACTCTTTTCTTTTATTAATACGTGTGTAGTGTAATAAATAAAATATAAAAGTTCTGTATTCAGATGGCGAGCAAAAAGTTTCTCCTCCCAAGGATTGTAGTGAGTGCGGTGGCATTCCTCTCTCTGTGCGGTAAGTACTCATACAGATTATTTCGCTAACTTTCGCTTTTCTAATAAAGTGGAAACTTTTGTAATAAATGTTGAATGTTGTTCTAGATTGAGATGTTTTGTTTAGTGATGTGCGTTTGTTCAACTCTACTAGATATTTGTACTCGATCTAAATGTTTTAGCTAATGTATCCTAAAACTATTTGCTGAATTACTCTGTTGTACTGATTTCAATTTGTTCGCTATAAGTATTCGAAATTAATAATACTTAAGTGGTAATATTTTTTCGTTTCAATTCATTTACTTAAAGCGAATGTTTTATTATTTGTTATAAATATTTTAATTATATACATACATACATGTGTTTACATTCCACCCGTGTTACATTGTTCACTTTTTTGTAGAAAATTGTTTTTTTTATATTTTTGTAGGTTAAAAAGTAAACCTCTTATATACATTTCTTTTTTTTTTATTCTATCTCTAATGTTACCTTAATCTAAGATACTCAGAGCCAATTTCACCGCATATTTAATAATTGCCGGTAAAATTATGTGGCACATAGTATAGAAAAATTACGTTCCATAGAAGATAATGATACATTATGGAAACAAGTCCTAGGTGTAGTTAAGGAAAATTATAAAAATGTTGACTTTGTTTGTCGTTCGATATAGGAACTGCATGCTCACAATTTTTACAAGAAACGATAGATTAAATTACTCTTTGATTTCCTATGAACAAGTTATTCAAACATAAATATTCAAACAAAGATGTCCACTTGTAGCTTTTGAATAAATAAAAACCATTTGAAGTTCAATATCGCGCCTACAACATATTGACGTGGGTCATAAGATATTTAAAAACTGACGAACGTCCTTCAAGGCATATGCTGAAGTCCCATCATAGCCAACGTTCAACTGTCTACTAGGTACTCCACACACAGGCATATCAAAGTACTCCAAACTGTTCATAGATTTGCAACCATATTGTCAAGTATTAAAGTTGCTTGTGCATTTCTCAGTGTAGGTATTCACTTTGCATTTTCTAACATATTTTTCTTTGATACAAAGAAACGACCATTAACGTCTTTCATATCATACTTTGTTTGTTTTAAAATCGATATTCTTTAAGTAATAGGTAACTAAGTATCTACTTAGGTTATTTTTTGCATAGCTTAGATTATGACTCATCATATTCTTGTGTTTATTTTCATAAGGATATATAAGCAGAGGTCTTCTTTTAGATTTTAACTTGAATGCCGCGACCATATTATTTTACAATAACAATTAAACAGTTAAAATAACGAAATAACATTTAATTCAATATTGTTTATTAATTATTATGATTTCGCTGCCATTTAAATTCAAATATCATTTCAATAAAGCGAATGGAATCTGCGAACTTGTTTGATACAATCGCATTTATCATTGAAGCAGATATTAAAAATACAAGGTTTTTATACTATGAATACCTATACCTAGTTTTAAGTCTAGGAAAATGTGAATCGTTGAAGCCATCGTTGAGCACCATTTATATTGGTATAGCTCCAATGATTCATATTTGAATAATAATATAGTATGAGCAGCATCCACTAAAGGACTAGGAAAGAAATGTCTCATTCAATAATCAAGAAATGTACCATTTTTCTTCTGCCAGTTGCTTCGCCTGCACTAGATACCGATCTGTGTCGTGGGTGTTGACAAACCCGAAACAACAATTAGTGGGAGAGCCATGCTTCAGCACGAATGGGTCGGCTCGACCGGAGTTATACCACGGCCTCACAGAAAACCGCCGTGAAACAACCAAAGCGATGTGTTTCGCCATGTGAGCTATCAGATCTCAAACTGCATACGTGTCGCCAGAATTCACGCGGATTGACTTTTATGTTATTCTCTACCTTTCTAATGTACGAATGATATGCAGTATTAACGCGTTGTTTCAAGAAACTTCGGTGTTTAGAGAAAGCCTGTAATATTATTAATTTCTTATCATAAACTGAACTAAGGTCGTGGTGGCCCGGAAGTTAAGGAGCCCGCTTCTCATACATGAGGGTCTAGGTTCGAAACCTGGCAAGAACCAATGTGACTTTTTACGAGTTATACGTACTTTCTACGATTATTTAGATACCACTGACATACGGTGAAGGTAACCATTGTGAGGAAACCTGGACTTATAATTTCTAATTATAAGTTTGAAATCGCCAACCCGCATTGAGGAAGCGTGGTGATTAATGCTCTAACCTTCTCCGTATAAGAAGAGGCGTTTGCTCAGCAGTGTGCACTTATAGGCTGATGATGATGATGATGATGATGATTGATTTTTATTGAAGATTTTAGAATTTTTTTCTAGTATCAATCCCCTCCCCCCCCCCCCTTTTTATCTATTCACCTCTCTATTTCTGTTCACATCGTTTGCCAAATTACCATTATTATTCTTTTAATTCTACATCGACGATCCAAAATCTCTATAACCATTAAAAAAACTAAATTATCAACTGGATCTCAGCGACATTTGACATATTTTATTTCTATAATTAATTACTTTTAAAAAGCTAGACTACCTATTGATTTTAAGGTAAATAGACTTCAATTTTGTGACCTTAATGTGTCATTAAACTAAGTTAAGTTGTTAACATTTATCGCCCTAAATACCTTACAACGCTGTCGCCATGACAGATATTTTAAAAACAATTTCATACCATAGACTAAAATTAATACGATAGACGATTATGAGTAGGCGACCTTTTTAATGTAAGTAGGTACCTATGTGTTTATTACAACCCCTATAACCTATAACTTTATATTCAACTCTATCATTTATGTCAGAAGTGTTGAAATACTTATAATCTTAGAAAGTAAGTAACACAAATCTCAAAAAATGTTACGGTACTTCAAGACTCCGGGCATGTTATACCTATTTGTCCAGGTTTTGACCCTCACCATGCTTGAGAAATGGGCGCCTTAATCACCATAATAACACTTTTTTATAGAAATTACTTTAGTCAATAATTAATTCGTACCTTAATTTTCAGATTAGAAACATCGTACGTTAATTGCAAAGTTTTGGATCGGCATCCTATAGTGCTTAGATCACAGATGTCAAACTGTTTAGGAATAATCTACAGCCACACAAACAGACAACAAACATTTACATTGGCATACGAAGGGTAATCAACATAGAGGGCAGCTGTATCGTGTGAATTAATGATCATACGCTACCACCGGTCATTCCCGACTGAATTACTAACGGGCTATTGGAATCGGGGCGCGACACATATGTAATCTGCACGTGCAATTAAGAGTCTCATTACTTACTAGCGACCCGACCCGGATGCAATGCCGATAGTAAATTTCTTCACAATTTTATGTATGTTAATATACCTACATATAAACCTTCCTCTTCAGTCACTCGTCAGTATATATTTAAAAAAACGCACCAATATTTGTTGCGTAGTTTTAAAGATTTTAGCTTATATAGGGATATATGGACAGAGAAAGTAACTTTGTTTGATGATATGTAGTGATTATTGACCAATGAAGAGAAAAACGATACCAATCAGTATTACTTTTTAGTCCAACGCTCTATCCAAGCAAATCCTCTTCGCTGTCGTGTGCTATGTTTTATCAATTTTACAAACGGTCATCCTCATGCATACTAAGTGGGCGCCTTAACCTCCGGGTCATCAAGACGATTAATATACTAAATGTTTATAATTCTATACAACAAAAATGGAAAAGAAAATTTTTGATGATAGAGGAAGCACACAGAGATATGATCAGAAAACAATAGAGCAGTCGTCCTGTTTATATCTATCTATCTACTGTTCAAGTACTTTAATTAATTATAGCTCAAAACGTGTAAGGAACATTATAACAATGACGTCTGTTAACAGTCATTTTTAAGTTTCTTAGGCCAAAATAAAACTACCAAATATCCAGGATACCACTAACATCACATAATGACCTAATGCTTATGGAACTACTTAAATATAAGTTTTTCATTACCTACAACAAAAAAACACCAAAATCGGTTCAGCCGTATCGTAACATAAGCTCGAAGAAAGTTATCATAGGTATAACGTAGGTACCAACTTTTCACATTTAACATGTAGATGACCAACTTTTTTTTCACCTGTTATACTTATCGGTTTTCTATCGGTACCTACCTACCATTTACAAAAAACACGTAGATATCATAATTATATGTGTATTTATTTACTGAATGTCTTCATTCCCTAGAACCTTTCGCCTAGCTACCTAACAATATGGCCGATCACTGGTCAGTTTACAGCAGTAACCTAATTTCAAATATTGATGTCCCAGTTTTCGGTAATAGATGTGTTATTTCCTACATGTGTATGGTGTATGTAGGTAGGTTTGTATTTAAACTGTGCGTTGTTATTGAATAGTTTATGAAACGTAATGGCTGTGTTAATTGATTTCATATTATTATGTAATACCTACCTATATTTATATGTATTTTTGTTATCGGTATACCTTTCGTGAGACATACATAACGTTCAATTACCTAATTACATTCATGTGTCGCGCAATGCTACTAAAAAATATGAGCCCCTAGCAGGGCTTGAAACTAATCGAGTTATCTCGTCGAACAATTTTATGATTAAGCCTTTGAACACGATCTTTTTTTTTAATCTTTTGTATATGTATGTACCTAACACAATACTCAGTACCTATGTACCTAATAGTTACTTACCTGCTACCTAACTTCAGTCACGATTTGACAGTTAGCTAGGTGTTTATCCTATTCATTGTACATTTATAGGTGTACAGTGAATACATATTATTGTAGTGACACACTCTGATTAAAATGTAGGTAGGTAGGTATTAAGGTACCAACCAACTTTACAACAAGGGTTTTCAAATAACCCAAAAAATATCTCGTCTCGACAAGCCATTTACTAACTCATCTATCTTTAATTATCATAGTAGCTCTAATGACTATCTGCATATGCAGTTGCTCTAGGCTACGGGGCTATCCAGCTATAGGTATCTTCCCTCTACAATTACAACCAGAGAAGGTAATTGTGTAGAGCGTAGGCACAGGCTTTAATTAATTTTAGGCACATTAGGTTAAGCTACTGTAAGTTAAGTTCAATGGAGTCAGTACATAGAGTAGGCCAATCATTGTCAACAACCATATCTACACACACACACACACACACACACACACCTAGCAAATTTGCAATAGTACTTGTCTATACCAAGTGTGGGAGAGCCAAAGGGTCGACACGACTGGAGTGATACATCGGCCTCACAAAAAACCGACGTGAAACAACCACAGCGTTGTGCCGTGTGAGTGAGGTTACCGAAGGCCCAATACCTCCCTCTCCTCCCATCTCTTCTCAATCGTTAATAATATCCGCAACCCTTATCCCCAAAAGACAGGCAACGCACTCATAACTCCTTTTGTGTTACGGGTGTCCACGGGCGACGCCGATTGCTTACCATCAGGTATTCCGTCTGGAAAGGTCTTTATAGAACAGAAGACATGACCAAAAAGCTATCTGATGACAGAGTATTTAGAACTCAAAGTTCAACTACTTACAGTTAATTTTTATTTTCTCACATTTCAGCCGCTGCCGAGAATCGTAGGTGCTACTGGTGTGGTCCCCTAGCGGAACAGGTGCATCGCAGTCAGCGCGCGCTGCCGTGCAGTGGTGGGCAGACACAAGTCACCGTCTGTGATCCTGGATATCAATATTGTGCTGTTGTCGCCACCTCGCCACGTAAGCAGTTATTATGAAATTATTGACAAGTTTTGGAAGAAATTTCTAAACATATAATGAAAATTGAATTCTTTATAGTAGGTAGGTTCACACCACAGTGCTATAACACATAATCTGTAGGCATATCATAATTTACAAAGATGAGACAATGAGCCGACTCGACTCAAGTTGAATAATAAAATATACAGGCTCGTAAAAGACTAGCGAAACAAAGCTTAAAAGCGAAATTCAATCATTACAATTTTAGGGATTAAGGATTTGCAAAGTAAGGAGAATATAATAAATAGACAGAAGAGGTAGATATACCACAGATGGGGCATACAGGGCCGATGTTCAGCCGAGGTTGCGGGGCTAACGGAATAAGGTACCGCGGCCTCGGCCTCAAGCAGGAAAAGGAATAGAAGATTTTTAGTCAGTAAGAGTCTGTTACACCCTCCTGCAGGGTGAGACCCTGGGCGAGAGATGCATTAGATGCCCCTTACAAAAGAAGGTGATTAAGGATGTTGGGGGGAGAAATATCGCTTCCATTAGTTACATAACATGTCTTTTTATGTTACAGCATACAAAGAATCAAGGTACTGTGTCAAGTTATACCAAGACGAGTGTTATGCGCTCTATTGCAACTCTACTAAAACATGGCGCATGACTTGCCCGTGCCGTGGAGATCTCTGCAATGGCCCGAACACCGAACGCGAACTGGAAGCATTCACGGGACTCGCGAAAATTGTGTCCAAAACACACAACGCCCGCCTTCGAAGAGCCTTGGTCACTACCGGCCGGTTCATAAGCTTAAATCCTAGAAGGAACCGAATAGACAACGCGACTGACGCAGGTGTTGCTGACATTGAAAATGATATTAACTCCACTAACATAAACGGTGATCTAACTAATGAAAATCTCGACGAAAATGTAGTCAACATCGTGACAGAAGCAAAAAGTGAAGAACAAGTTGTTGAAACCACACAAGTAAGCGCTGAACTTAAAAATAGCGAAGCTCCGAGCAGTCCCAATGAAATGATGATCGAATCTACTAAAATGAACAGTCTGATGAATGAATCTCTGATACAAGTAGATATCCCAGGTGAGAGTATGGAAACTAGTAATCTCAAAACAGAAATAATTTTATTGAATAATGGAACTGATAAAGATGTTGCTAAAACGGACGAAGATATCCCAGAAGTTCAGACTATCCCAGAAGCTACAACACAAACAGCTTTAGAAACAAAAGCTATGGTAGAAACTACTCCAGAAGTAGTAAAAACATCGCCAACAGAAGCTAAAGTAAATGATTTGAAGCCAAGTGCACAGCTGCCTACTGCAGAAGCTTTTCAATTTACTGACGCACCAACAACTAAAACAACTGAAACCATTATGATTACAAGCACAACTGAAACTACGATGCCACCCAAAAATAACACTGCTACCAGCTTCGATACAAACGTACTAACACTAGCAGTCGGCGTAGTTTTAAATTATTATCTGTAAGCATTCGTAATTTTTCTAGTTTTAGAATAATTCACTGTCAAAAGTTGATCTCTGTAAGTGAAGCTTTAATTGTTAGAAATTTAATGTAGCATAGTAGCGCTCATTCCATGTGATATTAGCATAGACAAACTGTAAATATTTTCAGCAATATTTTTAGACATTGTCGTAGATGTGATTGGCATTGGCACGAAATAAACACGCACAGAAAAAGTAAATTGTTTTATTTTATTCTTAATCGAAAGTAAAATCATAATGCTTTGGCAACTGTTTGCCCTTTGATTTATTTTCTAGGCTTTTGGCACCTTGGCTGTACGCCTCTCTTATATCGGATTCAAAAGGTTTATCATACTTTGTCTGTTTTATAGTAGGCCCATAGTACTCAAATGTCGGTGGTGGGGGTATTGCTACTCCTTCTGTTTCATGTTTCCTTTTCTCTATCCTTGTATTATGCGGTGCCGAATCAGTATCTTCTAACTCATCAATAATAGGCGTAGGTTCTTGAGCTCTAACAAAATTCTTATATTTGAAATTATCGTTCTTCTTTGCTGTTGAGAAGTACAGTCCTTTTTGTGGTATCTCATTAAGATCACCTATTTCAGGAGGAGGTGGTGTCTTGAGTTTGGGCCTGACATCCGCCCACGTTTTAGTGGCATTAGCTTCTTTATTGCCTATCATGTTTCCTTTATCATCGAAAACATTAGCATTGCCTGAAGTAGAAGCTTGTGGTGGAGCAAATTCATTAATTCTTTTATCTCTTTGTTGCTCTACATATTCTTCTTGGGTCATTTCTCTAAATTTCTTTATCTTACTTTCTACGCCTTCCTTGCCAATGTCCCATTCTCGCACGTAAGCTTCACGTAACTTTTGCCTTTCCTTCTCTTGTTCTGCTTTAATTCTGTTTTCTTCTTCCTTTGCCTTAGCATCAGCTTCGTTCCTCTGTTGCGTTAAAAATTCTAGAAGGCACGTTGTAAAGTCTTTTTGGTTTTCTGTAAGTAAATAATTTTTATCTGTTAGTGTGGAATGTGAAAACTAAAAGTGCAAAAATACAAATTGATGCAAAAGTTTCTATAAGAAACCCTAATTAAAGAAGGGCTTCATTTTTTTAATCATTTGTTCCAGCATGAATATAAGTTTCTAGAGCACCATATACTTTTTAAGAATATTACCTTTAGCAGGTTCTTCGGGAGGTAGACCAGCTCTCGCTCTCTGCCTAGCTCGTGCAGCCGCCACTCTCGCAGCAATCATCTCGTCTCTCTTCTTACGAATCGCCTCACTCTCTTGCTGTGCCTTCAGAGTTTCTTCCCGTCGCTTTATCAGTTCCTCCATTTGTTTCTTCCGCTCCGTTTCATCGGTACTAAATGAATAGTAACCCACACCATGGATACGGGCCTCTGTAAAAGAAATGTATCGTTTAATTCATCAAATCCTAAGCGAACGCGCGAGCACCTATTATTCTTCCATTGTGTCTGAAGGTACCAGTACCGAAAGGTTAAAACCAATTTTAAAACTATGCTTCGACACGAGTCATTAAGTTACAAAAAAACGTATATTATTAAATTGAATGTAATTATTACAAAACATAATAATTACTGTGCTATTTATTAGTTTGACTGCATGGTTGGTGCGGTGGCTAGGCAACTGGCTGCCGTACAACGTGTCGCGGGTTCGATTCCCGCACGGAACAACTCTTTGTGTGACCCACAAATTGTTGTTCCGGGTCTGAGTGTCATGTGCATGTGAAATTGTATTTTTGTAACTGCACCCACGACACAAGAGAAAACACAAGAGCGGAGCAACGTTTAAAAAATTGTGAAGATCGGAAGTATGTCTCCGAAATTGCGTGCTTCGTTCTTGAGTGGGAATGAAGATGGATAAGTGGGAGTGAGAAAGTGGGATGTATGTGTGTAAACGTATTACTAGAAATATATTTAGATTTATACTAAATAAATGTAAATAAAAAATTGTTAATAAAGAAATGTGTACAAACCATCAAACAGCAAGTCTTGGTAATGTATATCTTTGTCTTTGCCCAGTAGCTCTCTTTCTTTCTGCTCCCATTTTTCGCGCAATGATTGTAAATATTCATTTGTTGTTTGTACTAAGAGTGGTTTCTCTTTAGGTGGACTTTCAGGTTCCTGTAAAACATGTTTTTTTTTTGTTACATAAGTTGCTTAAAATATTCTTGGCAGTATATCTCTAGAATTTATTAAGTACAAGAATAGAAATGAGATGGGTGTTTAAAAATGGAATTATGTTGTTATGGTTATAAGATGGCTAAGCCAAACTGCTATTTAATTTGTCACTTGATGAAGACTTGCATTAGTGTTCTTTACATAATTCATGAACAGGAATTAAATTTCTGTTATGTAACATATTAATTTGTAGTTTATTGTAGATTTTATACTTTTTGACCAAAACTTTTTTAAATGAGGTTGGCTGTGTTTGATTGCAGTGATTGACAGTGTATGCAATTCAAGTCTACATGGAGTATACTTTATTTTTTGTTTAATATTACCTCTGGTTTAGGTTCTTCATCATCTGGAGAATTTTTATCTATACCCATAGACTTCATAAGTGCAGCATCTCTTTTGCGATACATATCCAAGTCAGATTTATGACATTTTCTTGTTCTGCCCAAGCAGTCTGTGAACTCAGTCCTGAAAAGGAAAATTTTATAACAGTTATATTATTTCTTACTGTTTTTCTATGAGTAGACAAAATGTCAAAAAAATTACAGCAACCCAAAAAAAAAAATTGTTGACCTCATTTTACTTGTCTGTCAATAAGTTAAATACACTGAAGCAAATTCTCTACTTATACTTATTATTCTTTGACTTGATATTGATAAGGCCACAGAAAAAGAAATGCTTATTCTAATGTCCCAACACATCCTGACTTTGACTATATTTAATATGTAACAAGGGAAAATTATCAACCATAGACATTATTTATATTTTATCTCTTCAACAATGAAGACATCAAAATTAATTAATTAATTTTGATTCATATTATTTTCATAACCTGATGAAACAAATATAACATCAGTCAGTCAAATCTCATATCAGTAATATATTAATTCATTATTTTCAAGTATTTTAGCTTACTATTAAAAGATGGTGGAAACTAATTTACAGTGTTCTGGTGGTTAAGTTAACAGTGATATTTACCATTCATCATCATCTTGACTGTAACTGCTCTCATTCTGATATAATTCAGGCTCCTCCTCAACTGCCTTTTCTGTATCTTGCTGTTTCTTAGTGTTGAAGTCCACGAGGAATCTACCAGCCAGCTGAGAGTTGCCAGCGCCATCTGACAAATGCTCATACAACTCAGCTTTCTTTTCCAATACTGCCCTAAAATTAAACAAATAAAACTGTTTTAAAACTGGAAAATACTGAGTAAGTGATGTTTATTAATTCATGGTTAGGTAAATAAGAATACATACACATATATACAGGATTTTTTATTTATATTGATACCTAGAATTTTTTCAACTTGAACGCAACACATATTATAAAATATGTTAAGTGCTTAATCACTACACTGTGTTAAGATTTGATTAACATAAAATACAAACAAATCAAACTTTTAATCTACAAAGGGATACACAGGGGTGTGTGCGTGTGTGTTTGTATATGTGTATGAATTAGGAAACATTTAATCATTTCTTTTATCACACACAATATCAAAATTAAATCTACTCAGTAGTTTCACATAACTACTGAATAGACTTGATGAAAATTGGCAGAAATAGGTTATTAGTCTGAAACACCACATAGGCTATTTTTAATCTAGGTAACACAGACAAAGACACTAGGAACTAGTTATTTTCTATTAACTTATTTGTAATGAAACAAATGTGGACACTAACTTGGCTTTCCTGCATGCTTCCAACTCTTCAGCGTCAACAGCTTTTAAACTGTCTTTGAATGTCTTTTTGTGTGAAATTTCTGGATCTTTGTCTGGTTTTTTTTCTTTTACAGGAGGTTTGAAGTTCTCAAGTTTGTGTTGCGGCAGACGTCTCTTCTCATTTACCTCTTCTTGCTTCCTTAAAAGCTCGGCTTTCAAACTAAATAACTGCATATACAAACAGGTGTTTTAAAATTAAATACATTCTTGAAATGGTCATTTTTTCGTTTAGTTTTTTATTGTGATCATTTTTGTAACTTACAGTAGATTTATTAAAAAGGATCTTCTTCGAACCACCGTCATTCATTGTTAAAGATTTAAACAATTACAAATAGGTACGGTACGACAATATTTCAAATATTGTGTAACATAGCTTGTGTGTACATGAATGTATTTCAAACGTTTTTCCTACGTTGCGGTTGGTTATATACAATTTATACGGAAAATTATATTTATAAAACCATAGAATTATTACAATTTAAATTAAAAGAAATAATAAATATTTATGACGATTGACAATCATATATGCAAACTACAATGTCAAAGACATTATGTCAACTGTCAACCAATGGCTAGAGTTGAGAAAATGCTAACCACAGACATTAGTCTAAACTAAAAAATACGTTGGTAACACGAGAATAACAACTGTTATGAAGTTGGCCGTAAACGGAACTGGGAATTTGACGTTTGTGTATTGACCACTTGCAGAGTTTTCAATTGCTAATTTCATGGTCATCTGACAACCATCTCGCTGGCCGTGACGACAGAAATTTCTACACAACGACAAAAACGGAATCTTTTGTGTACAAGCAAAACCAACATAAATAGTTATCGGATTTTGTCATATGAAAAGTTTCATAAGGACAACACATCTCACAGAAACAGTACCTTTATCAAATTAGTGGCTTAAGTGCTTGAAACCAAAATGTCAACTCCAGCTAGAAGACGCCTGATGAGAGATTTCAAACGGTTTGTAACTAAATATTTCCTATAGATTTCTAATAAGTAACCACTAATAATGAATTTTTCGAACTCTTATTACATTTTCTATTAAAATTTTCTTTGTGCGAAAGTGTAGTGCTGATTCATCAAATTACATCACAGTTATTTTAATTGATTTCTATTCTGTTCTATATTTCATATTCTATTGTAAACTGTAAAACTTTGACACGGTAGACGCAGGAACTCTTTGTGTTGATCACGGAGAGTAGGTAACGCTATAAGTAGACATAGCTACGTCACTTTCGTGCAAACGTCGTTTGTTGTAGTCATATTATTTAGGTTATCCAAATACCAATTCATACATTCGTGAAAACAAAGCCTGAGTCACTGAGTGAACCCACAAAATATTACTACTCAATTTAATATGGCTACTATTTGCATGAAACTTGAAATGATCTCATGACCTTGATTATGTTCTAAAGGTTTCCATGAGAACAGAAATAAATAAAGAACAAATTAGTATGTAAACAACTTGTTCCTTATTTTAATCATGAACAAAAAGACTACATTTTTCATCCTATGAAAAATATATAGGATATCCTATCATATTCATATAAACAACAGCTCATAATTTTCTCCACATTTACAGCTTGCAAGAGGACCCACCTACTGGAGTTTCCGGTGCTCCTACCGATAATAATATCATGATCTGGAATGCTGTGATATTTGGACCCCATGACACTCCATTTGAAGACGGCACATTCAAGCTTACAATAGAATTCACAGAGGAATATCCCAACAAACCTCCAACGGTTCGATTTGTGTCTAAAATGTTTCACCCCAATGTATATGCTGACGGAGGCATCTGCTTAGATATCCTGCAAAACAGGTGGAGCCCAACATATGATGTGTCAGCTATTTTAACCTCTATACAGGTAAATATATGCTTCAGCATACTAAATCAATATAAAAAATGTTGTATTGTAAAAATAAACAAGAAGCCTTGTGAAGATTGTATGTACTTTATGTTATAAGCAAAAGATAAAATATTAAGAATGCAGACTTACTCAAGTGAATTTACTGAGCCAAAAGCTATTACTAGTTTTAAGTTAAAATGGGACACTTTTTAATGAGGAGAGTGTGTGTCTAATAGAGCTTTTCTGGTTTATTTACTTAAGTATTTTTTCAATAAGTTTAGTTTGTCTCACCAAAGTTACAATCCAAATATATATAATAATATAATCTAGTTAGTTTATCTAGATAAAATTCCTATAGAACACACATGTATTGTCCTGTTTATTCAGCCAATCTAAGTAATTTTTAAATGTAATTATTTTTTTCTTTTTATTTTTTCAGTCATTACTAAGTGACCCTAACCCCAATTCACCTGCAAACTCCATGGCAGCACAGCTTTATAAAGAAAACCGGCGGGAATATGAAAAACGGGTGAAAGCATGTGTAGAACAATCATTCATTGATTAGCAGGGGTCAACCAGGATCTCAGTTACATGTGGTATACACAATACCTACTGCCGATCACAACGGCCAATACCTCCTTATAAATTTCATTGGGACAACCATGTAAATTATAATTACATACATTATCACATGTCAAGTTATTACTTCAAAAGTGTACCAAATTAATAAGAAGTATGGGTTTTGTTAAACTCAACTAATAAATAATTGATAGAAACAACCAAAATTTGAGTCAACAGGTAATAATATTCATAGAAAAAATAGATCCATATTATATTCTATTTAACTCATGGACAATATTAAAACTTACTGTGTAACAATAACTGTAAGAATAATATCAGCATTATACTCTAATATTCTCATCTCATGTGTGGACTACTTTCTTTCCTAGTTATCTTAAATCCCTTGTCTCATCATATAACTTTATTAATGATTTCTTGTGATGAATGAAATGAACAATAGTTATACTTGTAAACTGCAGTATTTTTCAATAGAACTATCACTACTTATAATTAGTTAAAAATGTATGAAATGTTATCAAAATAATTGCTTTTGATAAAAATTAACTAAAGCTTTGCTTGACTAAAATTTAGGCTCTGGTAAAAATGCTTTTCTCCAAAAGTAACTTAAATAATTCGTTAATTTAAAAAAAACGCAATTCACCTATTATTATGATTATTCGTTGTTTAGATGACTTTTGGAATACTTTAATTATAATATTAATGAAGTATACATATTATGTAGAAATTATAATTATTTACTGCATTATTGTAAATGTTAATTACCCCAAAACCCTAGTGGTATTATCAAGTGTTTACCTAAAATAGTACAAGTTTTATTTTTAATTTCGAAATGATTATCTATTGACTCCAGTGGTTTTATATACTAATATATTCTCATAAATATTCTGCTGCACAAAATTGAGTCTCATTCAATGTATATTATAAGCGTCCCAATGGATATTTTCGAAATGTGTAGCAGTTTTCTTGTTTTCTAATAAAGCTGAATGTTTGAAATGTCTTGTGTTTCAAGGACATTTAAGTATGTGTAATATTTCGTCTTCTAGTAAAATATTATTTTCGGTTTAAAAGCTTTTTTGTTTTATTATTTTTACACATTTTTTTATTTATGGGCATATATTAATCTGTATTTGAAGAAACTATATTTCCTTTTTAAGCCTCTCTGATAAAACACCCAGATATTTATTTAATGACCTACAAACCACTCGCACAGGTATTAGAGTTTAGTACCTTCGGCTAGACGAGTGGACTGGTTGTAACTAATATGCCGCAAATTCGATTCCCGCATGAAAAAATTCCGGCTCCCACAAATTGTTTTACATATGGATAAGTATGTAAACATAACAAAAAAAACTAGTATGGGGCAATGTTTTAAAAATGCAAAAAGCATAAAATATTATTATGAAAAGTTTTTTTGTGGAATAGGAGGCAAAGCAGCAGACGGATCATCTGATTGTAAGCGATCCCAGCATGCAACACCAGAGGAGTCACAGGTGCGTTGCCGGCCTTTTAAGGAGTACGGTGTGGAAATACCGCCGCCGGAAGATTATTCCAAAGTTTTGCTGTGCGGGGCAAAAAGTTACGCGTGAATCGCACAGTTGTTGACTGCCAACCATCTATGTGATGGGGATGAACATGTTTTCCGGTTCGAGACAACAGGGCAGTCAACAATTCGGCGACGGCGACCTCTCGCGCCCGCCCTTTATCGAGGCCATGGTTCATAGCGAGAGGTACTGGGAAGCTATCTCCTCCTTCTGCAAAGCAGTTATAGGAACTATCCTCCTCGCGCCCCAGCCGCCGCCGAAGGCGACATTCCGGGCGGCGGGGATCGAGAGATGATCTCCGGCCACCGTAAGCGCGGGTCTGCGGACGGCGAGTAAGGCTCAATTCACACCAAAAGCGCGGCGAAGCGCAGCGAAGCGAAGCGCGGTTTGAGTGTCATTTGAATTTTTACTTTATTCCCATTACTATAATGTATATTTTCGCATGAGAAAGTCGAAAGAGTCGCGCGGATGCCCGCGGCGCCGCGGGACTTCCCGCGAATTCCATGAACGGAGTCGTGCGACTGCGCGGGAACTCCCGAGAATGCTCGAGCAGTAGCGAGCGGCCGCTGGCAATATCCCGCCCCTCGCGCCTGCTCCCCGCGCGCGTCTGTAGCGAGCTCGCGAGCGAGTATTCGTTCGCATTCATTCCTTGCAGTGCGGCGAATACAGAAGTGATGGAAATGGATGAAGAAAAGCTTATTTATTTAGTCCAAATGTACGACTGCCTATACAATATAAAATCAAGACATTACAGCGATAAAAACATAAAAAATAACGCTTGGCAGAAAGAAGAGCGGCCCGTGAATTCATCGCGGGCGGGCTCGAAAAGGCGCGCGGAGTCCCGCGACTTCGCGAGCATTCCAGCGAATTCTCGAGCAGTCGCGGGAATCCGCGCGCGTTCTGTACTGAGCGGGTCGCTGCGCTTCGCTGCCCTTCGCCGCGCTTTTGGTGTGAATTGAGCCTAAGGGTAGCTCCAAGAACCAGACCCGACCGTAAGGCGCGTAGCGTTCCGCGCGCGCCTCAAAGAGCCAATAGACCACCACAGACGGGGCCCCATAGGGCTGATGTTCAGCCGGGGTTGCGGGGTAAGCGCAATGAGGCACCGCGACCTCGGTCTAGAGCAGGAGAAGGAACAGGGGGGTTTTTAGTCAATAAGAATCTGACACTCCCTCCCGCCCGGCCTTGGGCGGAAGAAGTCATTTAATGACTTCCCCTAACAAAAAAAGCCAACAATTCGGACAGCCCGTCGTTGAATCCGCCCAAAGATGAGAACAGTATTCCATATGGGGCCGAACTTGCGCCTTGTAAAGTAGCAGGCGATGACCCAGGGTGAAATACTGCCTCGATCTATTGAGCACACCAAGCTTCTTCGAGGCCTTACCCTCTAGATGACCGCAGAGCTGGACTTCGCTCGATATGTCGACGCCAAGTATCCCAATACCGGCCGAAGCTGTGAAGGGGGTGCTCTGAAATTGAGGAGATACGACCAACGGCCGTTTTTTAGCTGTGAACACGCAGACCTGTATCTTTGTGGGGTTAAATTGGACTAAGTTAAGTCTACCCCAATCTGATTCTTTCTAAAGTTGAAATTCAAATAAGTACCTAAGCAATAAATTAAAAGCGACTCATTAAACCTGGTTATTTGGGATGTTCACATTGACTGAATCAACATGGTGACTAGACTGAAATGAGGTAAACTTATTTGTTAAAAAAATACAGCATACTGAATTTAAACGTCTGCCATAAAGTCATACAAAAATAACATCAGTCTAATGCTCAAAAACTAAAATAAAACTAAATACGTAAGAAAAATAGTTTATATGAAAAGTGAATTCTTACAAAAGTATCTTATAATTTACTACACAATTATTGCAATAATAACATTAAATAATTCCAACAACCTAACATTTGGACAATAAAATTATTACCTATAGTTCTAGAATTCTTTCACCAAAGAATTCTGCCTACATTGGAAATTAAATTTCAATGTTACATTACAAAATATATATTCAGTATAATAGTATCGGTAGGTATTTAGAAAAGCTCTACCTATTGTAACATAGGTTTACCAATAATAGATTACCTAGTTTTAAGGTCTTCCCTTAATTTATAATGTATTAATTCCATACACACTGTAGCATCCTCAGCACTGTCATGTCCATCAACTGAATTTTGTATGATCTTCTTTAAATATTCTGATGATAAGTTTCTCAATGCCCGCTTATATGGAGGGCCCATTTTATGAGGGAACAAGACACTTGTATCAATGACAGTGTCGTGAATTAATTTAAGTACTTTAAAATCAGATTCTAAGCTATGACCTATTAATATAGTGTTACTATTAAACATAGTAAGGAGAGTAGCTTGAACATCTAATAATGTCGTTGTAATTCCTTGCATTTGTTCCTCTGTTATACCAGAATACCTGGTGTTGTAATCTATAATTGGGTGTAATGGTCTAATTAATGTTTCATAAATAACTTTACAAGAGGAATTTATAACTGTCACTCTTGTCAAGTCTAAACCATGAGTTGTGTAACACATTTCACAATCCAATGCATAAATTCCATAGTCATCCATATCTTTTTCTGGGGGCAGAGTTTTTACAAAACCTTTCAAATTTTCAAAGTCGACATATTCATAAACATGACTGGGAGCTATGCAACATCCATCAGATGTTCCATCTTGACTGCAGCATTGATACCTTGCTTCACCTCTGATTCTATACTTATTATTGGGATGGTAAATACATTCTTCCTTGACAGATGCAAACCCAAACTTATCCACCATATAATCTTTTTTACATCTACAACAGGTACGGAACAAACCCTTAGGTGGTTTCTGTTTATTTTGACCATAAATAATAGCTCTTCCTTTTTGTCCACTTTCATGAGGTCTTGGAAAGCCATTCTGTTTCAGTTGTTCCTCAGATAAAATCCATTTCTTAATGTTACTATATAATTTAGCACCTACAAACTCATGTGAATTATCTGCATTTTTTCTATTCTTTCCTTCTATGCTCCAAGACCCCATTTGTTTACCAGGTGTCATTCCTGGTACTTTTTGAAGTGTTACACAATCAGATCCTGATTTCTTAACACCTTTGCTCTCTTGGAATTCTTTTCTTAAGCGACTAACTGCTAATACTGCGGAATTCTTATAAATTTGTACAGTGGAACATTTTTTACTTGTAGACAGTTCTTCATGTTGTGCACGTGCATATGCATCATGCGCACTGAGATATAATTTTAAACATTCATCTATCATCATATTTAAATAAGTTGATCTAATGTTTGCTGGAATTTTAGAACCAAGAGGTTCCAAAACACCTGGCCTGTCAATAAATTTCTCATTTGGTACATGTGCAACCCTTTGAGCCCCCTTTTTTACAGTCTGGGTAATAGTAGTACTTGTTGATGGCTCATTCATAGTTGGTACTTTTTGACTTGGTGAAATAGTCTTTTTAGCATTTAATAAAGTGGAAGCATATGGCACATGGGCTATCCGAATTTTACTGTTGCCAGTTGTGGGAGGTGTGAAGTTGCTTTTAGAAAGTGGTTTTTCATTATCTGAAGGGACACTTGCATTTCTTGCACTGTGATAATCTCTGACTTTAGCTAACCGTTGGGCCATTGCTTGAGCAGCACTTAATTTAAAATCTGGTTTAATTGGGGTTTTAGGTGCTACTTTTACACCTTTTTCAGGTGCTCTAGATATTCTTTTCTTTCCTACGACAGTCTCTTCTTCATTTGTATTCTCAATTTTATTTGTGTCTTCAATAATTTTAGGTTTCTCTACAGGAACATATTCATCAAATATTTTCTTACATTCCAATGCAATGGCATCTTCATCAGACTCCATATCAAATTCTTCTTCCATAAGTTCATCAATATTGATGTCATCATTATCGTTATCTGATATGTTATTACTGCTATTATTTTTACTGCTGTCATGATTATTTTTAGACTCTTTTGAGTTTTTGCGTGATGACTTATGATCACTTTTCTCTTTTGTTTTAGACTTATGTTTAGAGTTTGAACTATGCTTTTTGGAATCATGTTTTTTAGATGAACTATGTTTTGAGCTACGTTCAGAACTTCTTGAACTGGAATGCCTTTTCTTTTCTGGTGAATCTTTATCTTTCTTTTCCTTCTCTTTGTCTCTACTTGAACTTTTATGTTTAGATTTGTGTCCTGAACTCTTTGATTTCTCATCTTGTTTAGTTTTTTCTTCAGACTTTGATTTATCCTTCTTATCTGAGCTGCTTTTGTGATGTGATTTACTGTCATGATTTTTATTAGAATTGCTTTTACTTGTATCACTTTTCTCATCTATTTTCGTATTGTCACCATTATTATTGATAACACTACATTTACTACTTACTTTTTTCAAACTACTATCAGAGCTATCTTTCTTTATTTTATCTTGATCAGACTTTTCTTCGTCTAATATTTGATCTAATATATCAAACTCTGGCCCCAAATCATCAAAACCATTAAGGTCAGATGACAGTTTCTTTTTCTTGTTTTCAGGTTCATCTTCATCACTAGAAAAACAAGGTGCTAGTGACCTTGGTGTTGGTTGATAGGTAACTGATGGAATTTCACTTTTTGAACTAACTTTGGTTGGTTTATACTCTAAAATCTTCTTCTTGCTAGTGTTTTTATCAGATGGAACATAATTGTGTTTACTAGAGTTATTTGAGCCTTCGTTGGGATTATATTGTTGCAGTTCTGTCTCAGAACCTGGCAAATATTTTTCTGTTGATACTGTTGACCCAGTAGGCGTGTACTTGTCACATTTAACATTTTCAGTGCTGCCTGGTGTATACTTCAAAGGTGGGGGAATGTAAATAAATGGTTTGGAGGCTCCATTCGTATCAATGGGCCTTTGCAAAGGCAATCCTGCGGGTTTTCTCGGCGTGTATGGTACAGGAATATGTCTCTTTCTTTGTTCAACTACTTCTTCATTGTTTTCCTCTGGTACAGGATTGTTAATCTTGTTCAGCTCTGATATCGGTGTAGGGTTATACGTCACTTTAGCTACACTTTGGACTACGTTTACTGTGTTCTCTGGCTGTGTCACTGTAGCTGTTCCAGAGGCTTCCTTCTGTAGAAGTACCTTTTGTACTGCTGCCGACACAAGTTTCTGTAATATCGCTCCACTTTCAATTCCGTCATTATTAATATTTTGAGATTCTTTTTTAACATGCCGAAAATGACAGTATGGTCTTTCACATAAACCATTATCATAAAACGGGCAACTGTTTCCTTTAAAATACCCTGTCGACGGAAGCATCCTATAAATATTTCAGAATTCACTAAAAAATAGTGAAGAAGATAGAAGAATGAACTAAACAACCAATGAACTAAACCTAGATCAGTGTAAATCATTTTACAGCAGATTAAAAATTTAAAAAGAATACAGATTATTAAAAGCACTCAAAATATATAATATAATTAATATGAACGTTAAAAGTAAATTTGATCCAATGGAAATAAACAGATTTCGTTATTTATTATAGGTTGTTTACCACTGTTTTTTATATATATTTTTTCCCATATTGTTAAAACAAAATTAATCTAAGGAATCAACTAAACGTTCTCTAGAACTTGCTGTAGTGCTGCCAGTTGTAAAAACTATATCTTTCAATCTTTTAAGTTTTTAACTTAATACGTAATCTTATAATTACAATTATTGTTCTTCTTTCTTTCAAATCTCTTCTCAAAACATAATATTAATATCAAAATATTCTTATGTAAGGACAACATAAGCAACGCAAAGCATAGCGTTTCTAAAATGATGTCAGGGTTAGTGTTGCAAATACCAAGATGGGAGGTGGGAAATTCAAGGCAAACTATTTACTATTTCTCAATACTTCGCTATAATGGAAATGTAATAGACATCAAGGAACGTAATAGTTAATAGGTGATACATTTGCTGTGAATCAACTATGGAATTATTTTTAAAAGTTTTACGTTGGTGTCCCTCGTCTTTTAGAGGACTATCGAAACTTGTGACAGATTTCGTAGATAAGCTTGCAAGTGTCATTGAGTATTTGTTTCCAGATTTCGAAGGAAAAGTATTGGAATCAGAGTAATTGAAAAATGTTGGACGAACTGGTTAAAGATTACTCCGCATATTTAAAATTAGATGTGTTAAATGGTTTTCAAACAGTTCAAGATGTGGTTGATAACATGCTGACAAGACTCGAAGAGCTGACTAGTGTACTGCAGATGGTCAAACTAAAGAATAGTGATTGTAGCTCAGCTGTTTCAGACGATATCAGCAAATACCGCAACGAAATTACAGCACTTTCAAAAAAAATATCCACTCTATTAAATGTGATACAGAAACTTCAGAATAATGTGGAACAACTTGAAAAACAAGTGGAAAAAGCAGAAGCTGACTTTGGTATAAACAATGACAACAGAATTAAAACCTTTTTAAAACCATTCTTGAAAAGGAATAAAGAAATCGTTCCACCAAGTAGCCCATCTCCGAATTATGAGAAATTAGTTTTTGAAAGTGTCCTAAACAGTTTTAATGATCAGAAACCATGAACAAGATTATATTACAAAAATAGGCAATAAGTATATATTTTTATACACATTTTCAAGTGTGGGAACTTATGGTCCTGAATATATTGTGTACTTATTTTGTAATCTAAGTATAGATATGTAATCACCTCAGAATACATTTCTGTATTCTGAGGTAATCATGGTGCTTATTTAAGTGACTTGTCTGTACTATTTGGGATTTATGTTGGAAATAACTATCATCAGAGGCATTATTAAGTCTCTTTGTTCTCTCATGGAAGAGAACAGATTCAATGCATGGCATTAACATAAAAAACTACATTGACAACAAACTTTATTGAATACTATTTAATGGAATGCTTTATAGTTGCCAACTTTTTGATATACAAAACCAAAATAATCTATAGCAAAAGGCACATTATACAATGAATCTCTGTTATTATTAAGATTGACTTAAAACATACTAAGTTACCATATTCAAAACAGTTAAAACAAAACTGAACCCATTATATAGGTTTAAACATCACTGGTGATTTTAATCTTTCAAAAGTAGTAGTAATTAGAGACACAATAATCAAACTCAGAAAATCAGCATCAACACAGGCCTTCATTTGGGGTTTGATGAATTAATATATGTAATGATGATGATGATGACAATTAAACTATCCTAAATTCAAGTACAAAATTAAATCATGATGGAACATAATAAGTCTGTTTGTTTACATTCCTTTTTGGACACAGATGTTAGATACACTTCTTGTTCATTGATGTTATTTTAAATTTTATGTTATTAAAGCATTGTTTATAATTCAAGGTTTTATTTCCCTGTTGATCCAAATCCTCCATCAGCTCTATTTGTTTCGGACAAATTAGTTACTTCTTTGAGAACTGGATAGTAAATCCTTTCACAAATAAGTTGGGCAATCCTATCACCTTTGTTTATCACAAATTCTTGGTCTGAATGATTGAAGATGACTACACCTACATTCCCTCTGTAATCTTCATCAATGACACCAGCTGTAACAATAACTTATATTTCACAAAAGGAAAACCAAAAAACATAAACATATAAAAATTGAAACCTTTTTGTATCATTTGTATCATTGTGAATTTAACAATTAAGACTAGAAAATGGGCACAGGCAACATTTTGCTAAGTGTAAATAGTTATTTATAATGTAAAATAAAGTAAACAATACACATCTGTCTTAATTCCCAGTCAACTGACTTCATCATAGTCACACACATTGAAAAACTTTTATTTGATATTTTCATAGATATGATTTACTATTTTTAATAGTAACTATCGTGAGACATAAATTCATTTAAAATAAAGAATGTCACCTGCAAAGCCATTTTCAATTAAAAAATTAAGGTTTACTATTTTAACTGTTATTGTTATAATTATTATAGTTAAATATAATTTTCTAAAATTAGTAAGAAATCTTATAAATTGTAAATTTTAATGTAGTAGTATTTACAAATACTCCTGAAAGAAATGACCGTGTGTGATAAGACCACCCATTATAATCACAACATTCCGTCATAGTATCCAATGTATTGCTACTTGGTGTGTGTGTGCAATAAAGTGCATATATAAATAAATAAAGGTTTTACATATAAATGTACTACTGGCAGCCAATTTTAAGTTTTACTGTACCTCCAATGAGAAAACTTCTATTTTTCAATGTATTATTACTGTAGGTACACATAAAATTTCACCTTAATTGTATGTGTGAAGCTTTTAGTAGGACAAGCTTAGAACTTTCAATCAACACCAAAAATAACACAAGCTCAACACAGTCAATGTATTGTTTCTGAGGAAAAATTATATCAAAAAAACAAGAAATAATACTATGGGGTCAATCTAGTATAATAGACACTGGGCCCTACCCGAGATCCTATTTTTAATAAAATACTTATGTTCCTCTTACTATTGCACTTGTCCTGATCTCACATTTATTGGGAAAGCGAAATGAAGTTTCACTACAGTCATGTTGATGCAAACTCAATTTTAATCTACTTACATTAAATTTAATTAGAGGTAAACATGGCCTATGAAATCAGGAAAATGATATAATAGAAAGTACAGGACGCATACCTCCCACATCGATGAAATTTTTCAGGGCCAAGCCAGATCGGGGCGCTACTCTACCATAGCACCCTGAAGGAAGTTCAATCTGTAAATCTGTCTTCACTAATTCCTTGCCGCGTGCTGGTACCACATAATCGTAAGCGCTGAAATAATTACAATAATTAGTGACATCAAATTCTTATTCGAATATACTTCTGGATGTAACAATAATTACCTCTTCAAATCAAAACCCGCAGCTTTTTCAGAACCTTTCATTGGAGCAAACGCATGCTCACTCAGACGAGTGAATTTTAATTCAAGTTCTGCCCCGGGCATTTTGGACAAATTTAAGACAAGTCTTTGAATAAAACGTGTAACGAACGAAATCTTGAGAAAAAGATTACAATTTGCAAGAAAGTCAAGAAACTGCAAAGAAACGGTTAAACAAGTAGAATCCAGTAGGTACAATGCATGTGTAAGTTGAACGGAATGAATGACATGAAAAAGCGCGCGCAAAATGAGGTATGTCAAATGGATGAAGGAATGATTGAGTAAATTCAACTACCTACAAAGAATAATAGTGACCGACTGCGCATGAAAACAGTACACAACGTTGTGTTTGGTTGGATCGATAAAATTTGTCGATCATTAAAATTATTTTAAATCTGAAATATTATTATTTTACTGTGATATGGCGTGTCATGTCGCCCCGGTTTTATAGTTTTTATACATTTGACAGCTCGCGACACGACACGTTACGCCACACAAATTTGTTTCGTGATAGGCTTCTTGCCTAAATATTACAATACATAGGTATTAATGTATGAAATCGATACTCAGAAAACCTTTTACTGTAAACCTACCTAATTTAACTGACATTCTAAATTACTTTCCTAGAACAGCAAAGTACTTGTAGTAAGAACTGTTGGGTTATGTGCAACCGTATAACAATAAACAATAATTTTAAATGTCTAAATGTCATTTGGGTATATATTCCATTACTATTTCGTAAATGACTTCATTCAGAGAAACCTGAACTGACGCTATTTTGTTTCCAAACTTAGTCCTTTTTGCATGCTTATAAATAATCTTTAGTTATTATGAGATTTAGCTTAGTAACTTAATGATTAAAACATGTAATTCTTACAGTTTCTTACTTGCCTAGTTTATCATTGTAACTCATTTAGTTATTTATGGTCATCAAGGTAAACTATCAAGAATCACTGATAAAGTCGTGAAATGAAAACGTACAAAGTATACGAATATATAGTATAAAATAAAATATACTAAGCCCGCGTAATTCAAATACTTATATCAAAGTTTTAACATTCGTTGTTACTTGTACAACAACACTGTAATGTTATGAAAGTGAGAAATTATAAATAAATAATAAATATTATTACAGACATTATTTGAAAGATTTGTTTCAATGCTAATAGCTTCAATTTATACAGGCCGTTGTTCTACTCATAAAGCAAAGTTATTAGGTGTTTTACATAAGATTCGATTTTGTATTATGGGATTAAAGAGAAACAAATGAAACATAGACTTTTCGAATAATTATTATTATGTCAACATGTTTGAGTGAAATTACTAAGAAACGTTTTTTTACAATTTTTTTTCGAATCCTAGTTATTTTTAAACTTGTGGCTATTGCAAAGTTGCTATACCCACCCACACTAATCCTTTACGCGGTCCGTTAATTCCGCAAAAATAAAAAAGAAATATAGTATTTTAATTAATCCAAGAATAATTTTATATTGTAGACCACCTATACTTAAAATCCTTACCTAATTAAAACATAGGGTGGTATAATAATCTAACTTTGCCTCCAAATAACACTTGTCAATTCGTTAATACGTAAGTCTAAGTACCTACTTATAATCAAATCTACCTACACATAGGTAACTCAATACCTACAATCATCTAACAACTGCACGTATCGTACATCGTACCTACAATATAAAATAACTTCAAACCAACTCATGAGTCATTTTTTACCTACTCTTAAGTCCTTAGTATGCGACCCAAATAATACAAAAAATGCTACCTGCCACAAAAGAGGTCTCAGATTTGGGCACAATACGGATAGCAGGCGGGTGATATACAGCGATTATCTCCTTCTAAAACGGCCTTTTAAAAATGTCGAACAACGACGGCGGGAGTCGCGTCGATCAATATTTCGTTACAAGCCACACGGAAGTTTGCATTATAATTCAATACCGCTTAAATTTGAATCACCTCAAAAGTATTTCCGCCTATAATCGCGATATTCTCAACCGCATAAATGAAAATCATATAACAAAAAAGTTGTCCGTGTTGCATCTGAGATTAGTGATTTACTGTGATTCATTCGGTGAGCCCCCAAGAAGGGGAGTTTGTCCATTTTTATATTTACAGCGTGTCCCTCGCGACATGCGCGTCGTCTCTCCGCCAGTCTCGCTACTACAGTTTCACGCACGTACACCAGCGCAATGAAACTGATGTAAATATTACTCCTACCATAATATTTACACGCGGATTGTTATTTTCAAAACATCAACAAATAGTGAAAGTGTTGTTTACAAGAATTCATGTGAAAAATAAAGTGTTTTAAGTGAAAACTACTGAGAATTGTGTCTGTGAATCGTTTCGCTTCGATCCAAGTCCGAGGAAATGCCGCGCGTACTCAATGTGCCTATTTCAGGAAGCATTTCAGCCAGGAACTTTTCGTTCTCATAATTCACGCTAGAGGTCAGTATAAAATTTAGCCGCTATAAGTAAAAGTTTTTCACGATACTAGATTTAAAATCCGTAACTTTTATCTGTAGCTATAAGTATAGCAATCTATCTAGAGTTCAAACACCGACAAGCTTCCCTCTTTATCAGCCCTTCTCCGCCCTTTACGCATGATCGACCGGTAGTTTTGGGGTTCACGTTCGGTGTAGGGTAGGGTGCGGGTATTATATGCGCGTCGTACTTATGTATGGTGCATGTTGTATAGGAAGTCACCCACAGCAATACTAGGATAGTACAATGTGCTATTGTAATACATATTAAGAATATATTAGAGAATAAATTGGATTTTATTAATAACAGAGTACGATGGAAAGCTACTATACTTAGTAAGTAATTAGGTATGTAGATACACGTATAGGTAATAAAAAAATATATAAATAAACATTTAGAACTACTACTAGACTCATTTTTAACAATATATAAAAGGAATCCTAGAATTACTAATAACTTTGTATTAGGTTCTTTGTACAGTGCTGCTTACCTTTAAAATAATGTAGGTAAAGTACATTTATCAAACTGTTATATAAATCATAAATTATATAACACCAACAAACTTAATAAATTAAGTGGAACGTAAACGCCTTCATCAATAATATGAATAAGCCTTAATAAACATTTAGTTCTTTTCTTAGTCTTTATTCAGATTATGAAGCAATCTTATCTATGTTACAATCAACAAAAACCAGTTTAGCATGAATTACTCCATTCACAAAAAAATATCTTTGTCTCTATGTAGGTACGTCGTGGAATACTTCTGTATTAATTTCGTGTACTGTATCATTTTACATGATTATGATAATTACTTATTAGAAACGAAAACGAATAAAAAGCGAACTAACTCTACCGTACTTGTAATGTTAACGTTAAATTAGGTAGGTATATACCTACAAAATCTTTTGTATCCATATTTAAAAAATGACGAACAAGACACAAATGTTAAATAGGTAATAAAGACTAAATAGTTTAAAGAATTATTTGAAAAACAAAATCAACACACAATGCGAAGGCTATAAATTGACCGCTTTAATTAAAATGACGCAAACAAAAGGATTCGATATGGCAGATGTTTTCATTCTAAGCGTTAATAAAATGCTTACGGTTACTCCTAAATCCCTAACACCATGGTCTAGTACTAATGTGATCTTAAAAGTTTAATAACATTGAAATATTATAATCTTTTTAATCGTTGTTTATAATCACGGAGATTGTAGTATCAGATAAATATTATCTACTATGAACACATTATGATTTGTAACAAACCAATTACCAATTCTTAAAGTAATACAAGAGGCTTGCAAATGTCGTTGTTGTGACCCGATTCGTTCGCGCAGTTTATAATAGATCATAAAGTGAACATAACTTTTTATTGACGAAAAATGAGTGAAACGCCTCTATGTATAGATAGAGTAGCGAGGTAACGAGTGTACTGTAGCGAGCGACATGTTTGTTTTCATACCGGTCCGAATTAACGTCGCGATTGGTTCAAAATCCATAACTGGCCTCCGAGAGCCAGGTGTCGTTCACACCGCGGCCTCGCGCCTCGTCTCGTTAATCACTCGTGTACGCTATTGTTAAAGCGCGGCGAACAGCCATCTTTGTCAAATTACGGCGATTCAATTTTAATAATTTGTTTAGTGATAAAATAAATAATCAAATGGAACAAAACGCAGTGTTACTGACGCATAGTGTTGTTGAATCGGGAGTATCGTTACATTCTCTTTTGTTTCACTAGTAGCTTGACGCTTAGTTGAATTGAATGGAAGCGATACGACTACGGCGTTAACAACCAGTCGACCATTAAAAATGATGGATGATGTCGTCTTTTGCAAAAAACAGTGTTAAGTGATGGTTTTAGTGAATAATGTGAAGGGTGATGTTAGTGTTTATGTTTGAGTGTACATGCGATGAGAACTGCGTCGTAATTTGTTATACACATTGCATAAATGAGTGAAATGGCGTTGCGGAGCGCGCGGGCCCGAGCATGCGCGCCAGTTTCCTCGCAATCGCTAGGAACGCACTGAGTGTTCTTCGTTTACGTGCAAATCAAAATGGGAAGGTCGAGATTCCCAGGGAAACCACTCAAATTCCAAAACAGAAAACGTATTAGTGTTTTATCGGGAGCTGTTTACCATGAGACTGCTCCAGAGAATCACCCGCCAGCGCGCGGCTCTACAGCTAATGATTTTGCTGGGGAACAAGAGGTAAAGCAGATTTGCTATGATTTCAACATATTTTCTCGTATGTTTCATTAAAATTTGAGTGTACACACGGATATGTTGTGTTTACGTAATAACAAGGTAGCATTTAGCATTCAAAGAGCTAATCGCATAGGTAGAGCGTCAACTATGTATCTACGTACTTTGACATTTGCGTGTTCCATTTCATGTCAACAAAATGTAAATTGAAGAGTTTAGAATTTGTTTCGTTTATATTTACGTTTGGTATTTTGATCATCGAACACACTCTTGAAATACGATATTATTTACAAACAAACTAAACATTTTGCTACTCTACACATAACCTTCATTGCAACACAAAACACACTGTTCATCTCTTGCATTTTACAGCTTGTAGCAATCATTTCTTGTTTCAGTTTTGTCACTACACATTACTTAGGATATTTTAATATGAATTATAAACGGTAGTAGTGAAAATCAACCTCATTGTGTACAAACAAGATATCTATTTGACTATTGTTTTCAAAATGAAATCAGCCCAGATACTGTTGATTTTAGAGGGATATCTTACTAGGCTTATCTAATAATTTTATGTAAAACATGCTATACTTTGGTAACAGTACCCATTTAAAAGAACTTTTTGCTAAATTTTATAAAAAAAAAAAGTATTTGTACATCTCAAGGTTATGTCTCGGGGACTACTGTAACAGCATATTGGTTTGTAGTTTATGGAGAGTGAGCATTTAACAATAATTTTGATACTAAATCAATCTTCATTTAACCTATTAATACAAAAAAAGAAAGAAAAACATTCATAAACATGACTTGTAACAAAAAATACATTGATTCCATTTTAACCATTTCAGGAGGAAGAAAAGAAAGAAAACAATAATGAGAAGGAGGCAGATGAAACTAGCCAAAATAAAGTGACTGATATAACAAAGAATAAAACAGAACTCCAAGACAAAAACAACAGCGACTTGTCGAAATCCCCAGTGAGGACCAGGTCTCAGAACAAAATGGAGCCAGTGAAAGGAGAAAAACCTAAACCAGTGAAGAAAACAGTCACTTTTGGCACAGTGGAAAGTTGTGAAGATATATTTTTCCCTTTAAAGAAAATACCTTTGAAACATCATGCTCCCCTTGTGCCCATTATTAAGAAAAAGTCATCTTTGAAACAAACAGAATACTCTACATTTAATAGTATTCTTAAACCAGCAAAGCTAACAGATTTAAGCTCAAAATCCAGTTCAGAACATCAGGAGGGTTATTTAAGGAAGAATCTGAATCCATTATCAAAGCCTATGAACAAATTTTCTCAATTTAGTGAAAGTCGATGCATGTCACCTCCGCCCAGAAATGTATCACCGGTTGAGAAAGACAGTGGAAGCTCTACAAAGTTTGTTCTACCTGTTAGAAGTGCTCATTCTTCTAGAGTCATCAAGCCAAATAAGAAATTTATCGATGGTGAGGAACAAACAACCACTAGCAGCACAATAACATCTAGTAAAGTACTCAAAAAACCTAAATTAAAGAGATTAGTCTTTAACAATATGCACAATGATGATGACACACCTGATGAAGAAGACACTGACAAAAGTAATATGAATGAAAAAGCTAAAGATACTCAATTACAACCATTAAAGTCATCTAATCTTTTCAAAGACAAAACATCAAATTCATTTTCAAGTCTCAGTGTGGGCAACAGAAAAGTACATGATCTGTTTTCATATGAGAAAGAACCTTCCCAGGATGAAAACTCCAATTTAGAGACTATAGAAAAGTTAAAGTCTCCTGAACCACCCAAGGAAGATAGAACAGGGCATGCAATGAGAAAGCTCATGGACATTTCTGATGCAAGTAGTTCAAGTAGTACTAGTAGTGGATCTGAGTCTGAGGACAGTTGGGACAGTGCCAGTCCTGCTGGAAGTGGAGATGAAGAAGAAAAGCCACCACCTGCCAGTCCTGAGAAAGATAAATCATCTGCATCTCAATTACTCAGAGGAAAAATTATTCTTAGAGAAGCAAGATTACAACTGAATCCTCCAACACAGTCTACTTCAGCATTAGATGGTCCTTTCTCTACTGTAACATCATCATCATGTAAGTATTTACTTTATTTGTGTGACATTAAATTTTCTAATTTGACTTTAACATTTGTAAAAATATTTTCCTCTGTTTACAGCTCCAGTTCCCCCAACAACAGTCACTTGTGGAGTTTGTGGTGCTGTAAGGTTTTATAGATTTGTTAAGCAGGCAAGGAAATTCGGAATATATTCATGTGAATCATGCCGCAAGTTTATATCCAAAATGTTAAAGAAAGAAAAGTTATCACAAAAGTCAGGTCAAGTTGTTATGCAGTGTTTGAAAGGCGAAGGTCAGTTGAATTTGTTGCTATTAAGTCTATAAATACATATTTGTACAAAGTAGAAGTCTAACAAAAAGTGTGTTTTCAGGTAATTGTCATGTACCACCAATTGTACGTTCACAACAATGGAAGCTACTAAGGTGCACAAACAAAGCTCGATGTCCAGCATGCTGGCTCAAGATGTGCCTAAAGGCATTCCAGGTACCACCTAGCATAAGAGCTGGCCTCACGGCAATGTTGCCTCCTTTCATGAGGTCAGCTGTTAAAACGCCTGGTTGCTTGACACAGGCAAACCCCCTGAGAATAACAAGCAATACAACCCCAAATACACCAGTGTTTGCTATCACTAATACAGACAACGAAAATAGTAAGATTTTCGGCACTATTAAGTCAAGTAAGAAGATTGAGGAAATTGAAAAAGTAGAGGTATGTGTCAGTTTGTGTATTCCTTTATTTTCATATTAAATTTTTTAAGGCAAAATTCTATAATCATTTCTTATATTTCAGGAAAAACCTAGTAAAGATCGTCCAGTCACTGGTGAATCAACTGAAGAAATTAACGCTAATAGAAAACGCCAGTTGACAAGGGTCAAAGTCAGGAAAAAAGATAAAACCGACACCAAACAAGCGGAGGACCCTAAAAGACAAAAGGTGGAACTTAAAGGACCAAGAGTCAAACATGTTTGTCGAAGTGCATCTATTGTCTTGGGACAGCCTATTGCTACATTCCCTACACAAGATGAGAAAGAAAAGCAGGAAAAAAGTCTTTCCACTGAAGATGAGGGTGTTCTATGCATTATGGAGAAAGATAGAGAGACTCCTGACTTGTCTAGCTGTGAATCTGAGATAGATTCTGAGAATAAAGCCCCTCAGATTACTCCAGATGCAATTGTTTCAAAAGAAAGTGATATAGAAGTACAGGTAGAGCCTAAAAAGAGGAAGATTGAACAGCCAATCCCTGTCAAATCACAAAGCAAGGCTGAATCTAGTGAAGACGAAACTGTTATGGACCTTGTACCTAAGAAGACATTTATGAAGCCTCTCACTAACATTACTAATGTAAGTTTAGTTAGTTAGTTAGATATATATCACACTAGCTACTCTCGCGCGGTTTCACACGCTTGCTGCTCGGCTCCATTTAGCCGAAGCGTGATGTTTTATAGCCTATAGCACTAAGGAACATTGTAGCTATCTATCAGTGAAAGGAGGCAATTTTGGCAATCTGACAAGCGGTTCCAAAGATTACCCCCTATATACAAACTTACAAATTTTACCTCTTTATAATATTAATAATAATATAGATTAATACTTTCTATACAAAACTCGGTTTTGATAGTGATCTAATGTCAATATTCTTTTGTCAGGTTCGAAGTAGATCCCAGAAATGTGGACAGAATAGACCAGAGCTCATTTGTGTTGACTTTTGGGAGAGCTATGATCCTGATGAAGTCTGCAGCTCAGGTTTTGGTCTTATTGGCACAGGCTCATTCACTGTTGCTAGACTATGCTTTCTGTGTGGGAGTGCAGGCAAGGAGAAGGTAAATATTACAATAATTTACTCAATAAGACAATATTTCTTATTAAAAATTGCTAAAAAACCTTTACATTACTTTACTATAAAGGTCATATTTTTATTGGCAAGACATTATTACACACTACCATGTGTTTGACATGCAGTAATATTATGATAAAGTTATACTGTCAATGTCTTATTTATACTCTGTCAACTTTTATTAGTTTTTAGAATAATTTATTAATTATAAGGTAATGTTATAGATAATTAGTGTTAGTATAGAAAAATCAACCCAACAGCAAGTATTTTTCTGAATGTCAGAAGATATCTCTTTCATTAATAACAGATTTTTTTAGTTAATTGACTACAATGAAAACTTTAGCAGGTTTCTTACATGATTGCCAACCTAATTGCACAGTAGAAGCAAAATGACAAAATTTTAGAAGTTTAGAATAGCATTTTGTTTATTTGTTTGATCGTATAATAGTGTTTACTGTAGACCATCAAGAGATAAATGACGAGTTGAGAGATAAGCAACAATCTAAAAACGGATTAAAGACAAATAAATAACAGTAGCTCATTGGCGAAAATTAAACGTTGTTGTTGTTATTTAAATTTTATGAATGTTGGTTAGCTCGTAACTGGCTATTGTATAAGGCCTGCTGCCTATTATCAATACTTTTAACTTAATTTGTACACATAAGCTATGAGCCGACCTTATAAATAAATAAATAAAAGAGTTTTACTGTGTGGTTAAAGCGTGTGAGTGGTAAACAGATGTTGGTATGCTGGTCGTGCTGCGAGTGGTACCACGCGTGGTGCGCGGAGGAGGCGGCGGGCGGCGGCGGCTGGACGTGCGCTCGCTGCGTGGCGTGCGCCGCCTGCGCGCGCCCCGCCGCCCGTCTGCGCTGCCGGGCCTGCGCCGCGCACTACCACGCCGCCTGCCTGCCTGCGCCCCCGCCAGACCACCGCTCTGACTGGCCACAGGTATCGGTCCTATATTTAATTAAGTAAAATCCAAACATTGCACAGTTATCACAGCAGCCCTGGCTGCATAAACCCTTCTGAAATCTACAAGTTATTCTGTTACACCACCAAAAAGGTTACTACTTTAATTCTTACCCTATACTTTTCTAAAAGTTTATTTTATAAGAATGTTTGCCTAATCATAACAAATACATTAAAAAAATATGATCTGAATCGGTTCACTTGATATGAAGACCAGGGGTAATTAAGATTCGTTTTTATAAGTGTTCATTGTGATTTCCAGATCTGTAGTGCGTGCCTAAAATGTAAGAGCTGTGATAGCAGCCGCGTGAGCAAGTTCGTAGGAAGCTTGCCCTTCTGCGGGCCTTGCTTCAAGCTGCGGCAAAAGGGCAACTACTGCCCGCTGTGCCAGGCTTGTTACCGCGATAATGACTTCGACAGCAAGGTATGTTTCCTTATTCTCATAGTATTCTGCACTTAATGTACCTATATAACAAAACAGGATCAGGATTAACACATATTACTGTACTATTTCAGATGATGGAGTGTGGCTGGTGCGGTAGATGGGTCCATGCCAGTTGTGAAGGTCTGACAGGCGAAGGCTATCAGTTACTGTCAGCCTTGCCACCCTCAATTGAATACATTTGCTGTAAGTGCATGCCAGTTGATCCTCCATGGAGGAAAATGCTCACTGAACACCTAAAAGGAAGACTCCTACATCTACTGAAGCTACTTGCCAAGAATAAGAAGGCATGTGCGTTACTAAAATTGACACCCCATAAGAATACGCCAGTACCGAACAAGCCCTACCGGCTCATGTCTCCACAAGCTATTAGAAAACTTCAATTTGATGTCGTCGATGTTTCCATGAAGACTTCCGAGACTAAAGTATATAGAAATACTGCGAGAGGACGGCGGAATAACAATTTACCGCAGAACAAATTCGATGACTCACACACACCGCATGCGTGGCAGTGCCCATCATTGTTACAAGATGTTGACATGGAGAAGGAAGAAATTCCACACACATCCCACAAAGTCGTAAATCTGCAAGAGCCACTGATGCAGAATAAAGAGATTTGTTTCTCTACTGGGTTATATGGTACTAAAACTGAATTTGAGGCTTCATGTGTTGAGGTCCATGAAAATTATCCTCCACAACCAAAGTCGGAAAAGGCCACTACAATGCTGCCAACAACTATACATGACGACAAGTACGAGGCGATATCAGATGATGATGAGCCTATGAAAGGATTCCCGCAAGCTCGTAGCGAGCAGGATCTAAGTCCAGTTGTGTTACGACAATCTGATGTCACTGGTGATGATGGCGATAGAATTATTTCACCGTCACTCTTAGACATCAAGAAAAGAGTAAATAGCGATGGATATATATCACTCAAAGACTTCAACCATGATATGAAAGAGGTTATCCAAAGAACAACAAGTAATGACCTTACTTCAATATACAAAGACTTATTCTCAGAGACATTCCCTTGGTTTGACTGTGAAAACAATTGCCTGCAACCTAACCTGGAAGTGGAAGGCGAACATGAAGATTCTGAATCCATGAAAGATCTTGCCATTGCCGACAGTAAAATTAAGGCTGCTGTACAATCTATTGAACGCCCAATGGATCAAATTGTGCCCAAACTGGAAACTGACAGTGAGAAATTAGAAGAAGATCTACTAGAGTTCTATCCAATTGTGGACTCGAGAGTTTGTGTGCTTTGCAAAGTTGTGGGTGATGGTTCACCATCGATGGAGGGACGGTTACTTTATTGTGGACAAAATGACTGGATTCATTCCAATTGTGCATTATGGTCAGCTGAGGTCTTTGAAGAAATTGATGGATCTCTGCAAAATGTCCACTCTGCCATATCCAGAGGGAAAATGATTAAGTGTGCGGCATGTGAAGTGAAAGGTGCTAGTGTTGGCTGCTGTGCTAAGAACTGTAGTGAGACATATCATTATACATGTGCGAGGAAGGCGACTTGCGCATTCATGGACGACAAGAGGGTGTTCTGTCCATCTCATGGCAAGGATGTGCCTAAGAAAAGTTTACAGAAAGATGCCGACTTTGAACTCACTAGGCCAGTCTATGTAGAACTCGACAAGAAAAAGAAACGATACAGTGAAATCACCAAAGTGCAATTTATACTGGGCTCCCTTACAGTTCATAGTCTCGGAAAAATAGTTCCATCTGTGTCCGACTATGAAGACTTCCTAATGCCTGTAGACTTTTCGTGTACGCGACTTTTCTGGTCTTGTAAGAAGCCTACTAAAATAGTAAGATATACTATCAAAACTAAACTAATACTTGCTGAGCCACTGCCAGGATTTGACTTTGGTGTGAACATCACAGTAGACCACACATTAGATATTCATGTTGTGGAGAGGGTAATGGCAGAGATTGGTGCTTGGCATGAGAGTATTGAAACAGGTACAGGCAAGTCTGTATTGATGCTGAAAAACGACAAGTCACCAATCAAGTTTGGTAATACAGTGACATTAGAAGATTTAGCTGTGAAACAAGTTGTCGAGTACTTGCTTGATAATGTATGCAAGCAAGAACAGCAGGATGAAGAGGAGCCACAAAATACAGCTGATCTTCTTCCACCTGAAGTCAAAGATGCTATTTTTGAAGATCTAAATCATGATCTTCTTGATGGTATATCCATGCAAGACATATTCCAAGATCTCAAAAATGAATTCTATTGTGCTATGGGACAATCAGATGATAAAAGTAATGACAAATCCGATTTCCGCTCAACAGATTTCATAGATGAACTCCTGAACTCAAGGTTCGAAACTGGCAGTAAAGAGCTGAAAAGAAGCAAATCGGAAATGCTTTTACAGAGCCATAATCTTAAGACATTGACAACTGGTCGCGGCCAACAAAGATCTAGTAGTTGGAACAATAAGTTCGACACAAGTCTACTGTCATCCACAATAAAGAGGTGCAAAATGGGTAAAACATCCACTGTGACTGGAAAGCTGAGTCCCATTCAAAGAGTACCTTTAACAGAGAGTCCAATGGATTCAATTAAAGAGGCTGAAAATACGGATAAGAAAGTGAAGGTAGAGACATGCACTAGCGGCGCCATTTGTGAGGAGGCAGCGCATTCGTCCGGAATCACGTATCGTACCACCTCGCCCAAACAAAAGGATGATTCTAACAATAGCAAATCAGACAAGAATGAGGGCTATTACACCGACGTCATAGACTTTTATACAAAAATACAGTGTAGTCCCATCTCTCAGTTAGATGGTGCCGCAGACTGGTCTGGTTCAGAGAGCACATGCAGTTCCCGACCGGGCAGTCCTCGAGACAACGATAATGATTTCACGCCAATACAACAACTCGATGGCGCTGAAGACAATCATCATGGAAATGAAAACATGCAGAGGGGACAGACAAACCAGTTCATGTACCGAGCTAGCGGAACTGAGAGTTATACTGTGACGTTTGCTGGCAACTCCATAAGTGGTCAGCCAGAGCTTGTGATGAGGCCATTAGATGATGGTTCAGGTAACTCTAATCATATGGAACAACCAGTAAGATGTGACAGATGCCAATGTACTTACAGAAACAAGGAGTCTTACGACAGACATGTCCCATCGTGTGATATGATGTCTACGAGCGAAAGTGAAAGTGAAAATCCTAAATCTCCCGAGAATAGAACATTGACGACCTTACAGAATGCATTTCAAGGCGCTTTCGCTCAGCCAATGATAATACACGCAGGAGTTGTCAGTGGTACAGAAAATACTGTTAAAGCTGAAGGTATTGCAGCAAGAAGAACTTCTATCAACACCAGGCAAATCACTATAAATGGGACTATTGTAGAAACCCCATCTCCAGGTCCTTCAAATGAAATGACCATGACAATAACCGAACAGATGAAGTCGGGAACCGTCATTTTCGATCAAAGTAAAACAACCAATGTCCAAGTATCTACTAATCAACAAATGATGTCTTCACCACAAATTGTCGTGACACCACAAATGCTACTGCCGCCTAAGACGAGTTCTGCAGGTGGTCAGAAGATAATGACGCCGCAAATCATAACGCAACCTAATATTCTGCCTTACAACATCTGCGTGAAACCAGGAACCGGAAACGCTAATATACAGCAAATACAAGGCAATGACATGACACAATTACTGTCAGGACCAGGAGGTATTCAGGTCATATCATCAAACTCCAACCAGGTTTTAACTATACCTCAGAATCAACAAGGCGGTATGATTCAGGGACAAATGATTCAAGGCAAAAACCATGTAGCCAACTTTCCCAATATGGCTAGTGCATCGTCAATCGCTTTGCCAGTAAACTCCATACAGGGAATGCCCAATACATCTATTATACAAAACATTCAACCTATGATTAGACCTCAAATACAAGGTAATCCTACTATAGTGGTTCCTGCAATGACAGCACAGAGGTTATCATCGCCTAATTCTCAAACCAAACAACAATTGATATTACCAGGAAACACTCAAAAATCTCCTAAAAAGCAACCAACCCAGGTCCAACCAAAACCAATATTTCAACAAACAAATCGAGGTCGAGGGCGTCCCATTCCTAAGCCCACCACCATTAAGAGACAAACCAAAATGGAAAAGACATATACCACTATCAACCAGTCACCAATAGGTCCTGGCAACACAGTGATACAACTGCAAACCAATAACCAGACGGGCCAGCCATCCATCATAGTGCAGCCAGTCTCTAATCAGAATATAATGTCTGCATATGTAGAGGCATTATCGCAACAACAGAATCAAAACATGCAGTACATCGCAACCATTGCCCCACAAGGAGATTTTAAAGCTGGACCTACGCAGTTTATATCCCAGAGTGGTCTAGTACCGCAAACATTCCAAATACAGCAGACAGAATCTGGAGGATTGGTCGCTGTTCCAAGTGGCGGAATACCTGTATTGTTACCGCAAGGAAATGTTGGAATATTGCCCCAAGCTCTTCAACAAGGAGCCACAATTTTACCTCAAGGCGCAATCCAAACACAAGGCATTATATCCCAGGGTCCGAATGGGCCTACGATTCTCCCCCAAGCGATACATACACAAAATGGAACTACCATCATTCCACAAGGAACAATACAAGGATTGACAAATGGCAATATTACGTCGCAGGCCACTTTGTTACCCAATAATACATTACAAACAGCGGGCGCAACGGTTGTGCCACAAAGTGGTATTAGTAATGGTCAAACAACGATCATACCGAATACACTACAAACACAGGGGAATACGCTAATCTCTTCAGGCCCAGGGGGTACGACAATCTTACCACAAGGCACTTTATTACCACAATTTTGCAACGACCAAGTGCTTCTAGGCTCCACGCCTACATTAGAAATGGTAACAGACCCATCCGGCTGCATGTACTTAACGACGACGCAGCCAGTATACTACGGACTAGAAACTATTGTCCAAAACACAGTGATGTCTTCACAGCAATTTGTATCAACAGCTATGCAAGGAGTGCTTGCACAAAACAGTAGTTTCTCAGCTACAACTACTCAAGTGTTCCAAGCAAGCAAAATAGAACCGATTGTAGAAGTGCCCACTGGATATGTTGTGGTAAATAATGTGGGAGATAGTGTCGCAGTATCGTCGACACCTAACGTGGTAACTGCGCAAACAGTACAATCATCGCCACAATCCATGAAGAATGTTAAAGCCAACGTTCCTAACCTGACGTTGCAGCCACTACCCGATAAATCGAGCAATAGCAACCGACAGACTCCCAAAGTAATACAAATGAGCCCGGCACCACTAACAGTTGGGTCTCAATCAGGTCCAACAATTATATCTGGCCGTCAGAGCATAAACCCTATTACTTCACAAATTCACGGTATGACTATCTCAAGCTCGCCACAGAATATACAACGAGGCAATATACCTAAGCCCAGTGTTGTGTCGATGTCTCCGAATGTAACGCTCGTGTCATCGACCGGACAGCCTGTGATGGCGATCTCTCAATCGGTACCAACCACATCGTTCCCTATGCAGTCAATACCATTAACGCAGCCTATTGTGTCAAGTTCTATTGCACCACCAGCTAAAACTAATTACAAGATTGAGAACTCTCATGTCATTGAAATTAGTGGAGGCAACTTGCATGACAATTCAAATAATGCGAATATGCCTACCATCAGTGTAACACAAAGTATAAAATCACCTACGCCGTGGAGGCAAATTAATCAGCCTATCAATACCAGTATGGATAACAAAATAGAACATCAGAACATGAATGTGAAGCCAAGTACTGTTAACACTAGTTCAATGAATATCCAGAGTAATGTAATGGCTGGAAGACCGCATTTGAACAATGATCACGACAAGGGTAACCAGAACTGTTTAATACAAATGCCCAACAATTCAATGTCAACTATGAATATGCATTCTCACCAGTTCGAGCAGAGTCTCAATGTGAGCCACCATTCAACATCGCATACTACATCAAACAATGTTATTCAGATTACTGCTGGAAACATTTATCCACCGTCTTCGGTAATGAACAGCAATTTTGATGCAGATACTTCATTAAAGTTGAGCAAAATCAATGCTCTTTCAAAAACCGAAGGTGGGCATTTGAACTTCTCACAAGAGATAATGGCATCACATTCACAGCAACATGCTAACAATGATAAAACTTTCCAAAACATGGGACCTGTAGAAAACAAGCACAACAGCGACAATTTGTCGAGTCAGATGAACACTCATAAACTGAGTAACTGCCAGATGACCAGCAATATCAACAACTCGCCTGCCATCAGCATCATTCCCCATAATGTCATGCGACCGCAGCTACAGAACAATCAAAATACTATTTCTGTACCTAATAATCAAAACCAAATGTGCTCATTATCTACTAACAGTTCTCATGGCCAAGTGCAAATACTGAATTCGGGCAATAACTCCATACAAAATATTAACATGTCGTGCCAGGAAACTACAAATAGTAGAATGAACATCTCAGTGTCAAGTGACAATAGTATGCAATCGAACCAGCAACATGACATGTCCAGTTCTATGAATACATCAAACATGTCTCATAGCAACAATATGCCGATGATGTCGCATGATAATAATCAAATCCCAGCGCCCAACCAGATCCACATAATGAATGGACAAATCCAACACAACCGTCAAGTTGAGAACAACCAATTACAACAGATTAATCAACAAACTCCAACTAGAAATTTCCACGAAAATATGATGAATCAACAACAAAATCATAATCAGACAAATATGCTCTCCAACCGAAGCACTCCTGACAATACTAATATTATGAATCAGTCGATGAATATGCATAATTTGGGAACCAACAATCACAATATAAATCGGTCCGATTTGGGCGATCTCAACCATATGCACATGCAACAAACAATGACAAATTTGAACATGCAAAATAACCGAATGATGATTGACAACATGCAATCTCACAGTATGGGCAACATGAGCCATACTATGCATTCTAATAGATCTATGGATAATATGCACAATTCCCAAATGCATAACATGCAGCAGATGAATCATCACACGTCGAACAACTCTCGAGGACAAATGGACAATAACATGCACGTTAACCAGCAAATGTCGATGCAACAGACCAGGCAAATGGACAATGTTGGTCTTCATCATCAACATCAGATGTCCAATGTGATGCAGATCCAAAATAACCGAACGCATGTCGACAGCAACATGATGAACATGCATCAACATGTACCCAATCAAATGCATAACCGACAGCAGATGGATAATAATAACATACATATGCATCATATGTCCGGAAATGCCCCAAATATTAATTTAGCAAACCAGATGGACAACTCTGGCTCTATGCCAAATATTCACGGTAACAGATATGATAGTAACTCAATGAACATGCAAAATATGAATGCTATGAATCAAATACAGAACAACAGGAGTTCCATGGAGCATTCTTCAATGATGCAACATCAAATGAACTCTATGAACAATATGAGCATGCACTCCAACCTTAACAGTACAATGCAAATTGTCAATACTAACCATCAATCTATAAACAGCTCAATGATGCATATGCCAAACATTCCCGACATAAAGAATGATATTCAGAGCTCATGTAGTGGTAGCTGTTCCAACAATAATCCACAGTTCCCCAACAATCAGAACACAATGGAGATATGCCCCAATATGAATATGAATACCAATCAGAATAACATGAATATGGGCACAGGAAATATGCTCCATAGCATGAATGTAAATAACGCGAACATGTCGAACAATATGATGATGAACAATGTGAACAACAGCAACATGTATGGGCAAGGCAGTCAGAACAACATGACTGGTCACGACATGCTAATGAGTTGCTCCAACTCTACTGATCACAACGTGAACAATCTTATGTCAGGAACACCCAACCACATGATGTTGAATAATACCCAAACTCACACAGCTAATAACCAGAATCAAATGATCAGCAACCAAGTCTCTAATACTACGCAAATGAACATCAACAGTTGCAGTATGAGCACCAACAACACATCACAAAGTCAAAGTATTACTAACATGGATAACCAAATGAACCGAAGTACTATCCCGGTGCCGGACCCGCCTAAGTTTTCACAAGACAATCTACGAGGTAAAAATTTAATGGGTCCTCCTCCAACTAACAACTTATCCATGCCAAATATACCAAATAACAAAGACTGTTCTAAAGTAAATATGGTTAATAATGAAAAGCAAAACCATACGATATCTGTAAGCAACCAACTTGGATATTTGCAAATGAACCCTCAAAACAATAACCGAGTTATCAATTTACCTGAGAGGAACAGAATGAACAATGCAAATCTGGAGAGCAACATTACTCAGCATGTGCCACAACAACATAACATTCGTGTGGTCACCAATAACACGAACAGCAACGTCGCTGATCCTCTAGCTTTCCAACCAAGTAACGACAGCAGCAGTACCATGATCAACGTACCATTCCAGGCTATTCCAAATAGTGCTCCTATGAACATTAACGTAAACTCGAGCAACAACACCGTTAATATCACGGTCCAGAACAATCTGGTAGACCCCAAAATCGCTTCTAAAGCTGCAGCTGATATAAACTTTCCTCTGCAGACAAATACCAACTTACTGCAAAATCAAAATAATGCTAATAATCTGATGTGTATGCCCGTGGCGAACAATACGATTAATTTGCCGACACAAAACAGTTCTAGCATATCACTACCAAAAGCACCTCCTACTCAGCAATCTGGCATTCCTACTAACGTTGTCAATCCAATGTCTATGAGACCTATGAACAGAGTACTACCTCTGCATAGAGATGGACAAAGCAAGTCCTCTACGAAGACCACCAAAACTGTTGCAGTGCCCAAACAGAGGCCTGTGAGCCACGATATGCCAGATTTGAATATAAAAGATGACACTATTGACAGCGATCTAGAAAAGGCGATTGAAGAATCAAAGCGTATGATGGAACTGGAAAAAGCCAAGAAAGAAAAAGAAGAGAGGGAAGCTGCTCAAGCTATGCAGCTGTCAGCCGAAATACACCAGGCTAATACAAGCACTGCCACATCGAGCATGGACACTGGTAGAATCATTGAGTCCACTGAAACCAACTCTAAAATGTCTTTACCGAGTTTGGATGCAGAGATGATTGATGTCGAACCGCCTAAAGTACTTACAGAAAAGGATACTAACAGGACTCCGGTCGCACCAAAAATACCTAGTGCTTCCAGTAAAGTTATGAAGAGGCCTTTAGGAGACAAGAAAACCGATGTAGAACCAGTTGCAACTAAGAAGCAGAATAAAACATCGAAAGAAAACAAACCCACAGCACCTAAGCCTGCCCCTGAGCCAGCAAAGGATGATGGGCCTAAATTAATTTATGAAGTCACATCTGAAGACGGTTTCAACTATACTTCTTCTTCGCTGACTGACTTGTGGGCCAAAGTTGTAGAGGCTGTACAAAATGCTCGAAAGCAGTCGGGATTGTCACCGATTCAATACAATCTGCCTGCAAGTCTATCAGGGGCACACATCCTGGGACTGAACAATAATGCTTTGAGATATCTTGTCGAACAGCTACCTGGGGTAAGTGTTAATGGTAGTTGATTATTATGACATAAATTTATCAGAATATTTTATTTATAATAATGATGTTACTTTTATAGGCAAGCCGCTGCACCAAATATAAAATGCGTCAAGGACGTCAGTTAAGCAGCTGGGATAACGACCTGGACTTGAGCGAGGGCTTCAAAGAAAGTCCGTGGGGAAGCGCTCGTACTGGACCAATCGCAAGGAAACAAAATCACGACATGTTTAGTTGGATGGCGTCGCCTTTCAGAGAAGAGCCACCACCGTTTGGAGGTCAGGAAGGAGAGAGCTCGATTTCTAGGTGGGCATTACATTACCAATCATTCATTGATATTTACAATTTTAATATTGGATGAACCACAAAACCTTAACATTAAAATATTTTATGTTTCAGGCGCCTTGCAACTTTACCACCGGCTATGAGATTCAGACAATTGAAAGAGACATCTAAAGCGTCTGTAGGCGTTTACAGATCACATATTCATGGACGCGGATTATTCTGCAAACGAGATATTGAAGAAGGTAAAAACTAAATTCATTGATCAATTTTTTCATCACCCTGTTTAGTTAGTTATGAATCTCTAATTATTTTTATTTTCGGTATTTTCAGGTGATATGGTAATAGAGTACGCGGGCGAGGTGATTCGCGCCGTGTTGGCAGACCAGAGGGAGAAGCGTTATGAAGCTATGAGCGGGCGGCGCGGAGTCGGTGGCTGTTACATGTTCCGCATCGACGACAATTTGGTGGTGGACGCGACGCTCAAGGGCAACGCAGCGAGGTTCATCAACCACTCCTGTGATGTGAGTTTAATTATACAACAAAAACTTCTAATCTCACTATGAAATATTTGTTTAAGAGTTTGTAGAATCAAAGTTTTAGCGAAAATTAATATAACCAATGGTATTTTGTTTTAGCCTAATTGTTACTCGCGCGTTGTGGACATCCATGGACACAAACACATCCTCATCTTCGCCCTGCGACGTATTACAATCGGAGAGGAGCTTACCTACGACTACAAGTTCCCCTTCGAAGAGGTCAAGATACCGTGCACTTGCGGTGCCAAAAAGTGCCGCAAGTACCTTAACTAAATATGAACAAACGTTAAGAGTGAGTGATTCGATTGTGTCAATTATGCTTGTGTTGATCTATGATCAAAGAGGTTTAAAATGCTGTAAAACCGAACAAAAATACTGTAAAACAGTGATTGTAGCAATTAATTTGTGACAGTCACGGTAGTGTTTTTGGTCAGTAAATTTTCCAGCCTCACAGGTTTTACTTAACAAGTAGCATAATCCTAGAAGTACATAAATGAATTAGACGTAAAACTTTAGTAATAACGTGAGTGACATATTTGACGGTTCGCCGCAAAATATAAATCGATGGATCTCGTGAGAGTTCTAAGTAAGCCTATTTAGAATGTAGCTTGCGGAAATGAATGCTTGATGATGAAATGCTGGGTCGAGCACAATTATAACGTGTACATAACGTATGTAAGACAATAAGTCAAATTCACATATCGCGTTACTCCCACCTCGTATCTTGACACTTAGACTTTACTGGAGACTACTTTATCGGACATGAAAACAATTTATATGAATCTTAATATGATCTCTTTCTTGAATCTACCCAGTGTTAAGAGTTGTTGGATTTTATAATAATTTTGAATTAGATTAATTTGGAAAATCGTAATTTGAGATAGGTTTTTACATTTTGTAAATATATTTTAGTTATGTTGACTTTTTTAAGATGGATAGTTGACTCGCGAACGGCTTAAGTGTGTGCACTTAACTTTGATGTGATATGACTAGCCCCGGATCTGTCGGGTAAGAGATGGTTAGTGTGTAGTTAGTGTATATTTGTTCCTCATTATGTTCTTATATTTTCTCTTTACTTGTGATCAGTTAAGTCTCGACTAACATAGCGCGTATGTGTACATATATCGAGGGATCTTTAGGCATAAATAATAATAAAGTTAGTACATTCGAGAGGGTAGCGAAGTTACAAGTACAATGTTACTTTTTAGTAATTTTATCATGTATTGTATAGTAAAATTGTAAATAAGAGAAATTATCTGTCATAATAATGAGTTAAACGACAAATCGTTTTATTGTAGTCATAGTGGTAGGTTGTACTTTATAGAGTATATTTTACGGTGTATATAATAAGTTATTTAGTGGCGCGGAGCGGGGACCGCAGCCTCGCACTGCGCGTCCGTCAACATGTACACTTGGATGACTCCCAGTTACAAAGCACGGTTTATCATAAAAATGCACATTTGTTAGCTTTAATACTACTTCAGCAAAGCTTAATTGGTTTTAATTTAGAATATATATTTTTTAATGTTCTAATCGATTGCCTGTTTGTTGTTTTAATTGGCAAATATAATTTTTATAGCATTTTTTTCCTAAGCATTTATAGACTGAATTTTAATGCATCACACAACAGTCATCACATGAATCAGTCAAATTGCTAGTAAATCTGCTTCACAATTTATTGTTTTAGTAATAGACAGATTTAGATGCAGGAACAAAGAAAATTAAATATTTTTGGGTATCATGCCATACAACTTCTGTTAACTACACATTTGTTACTGCATCTAATAATAGCAGTATTAAAATAACTTGTATGTGTCCCCAAGTATTTTATAGATAAATTCAAATAGGACAGATTAAGTAGGCCCGAATTAAGAGGTAACTATTAGTCGTTTTTAAATTTGTACGTTAGAACAAGATGCACATAATAATAAATGTTCCATATTTCTAATATAATGATTGGGTCATATACTTTAAATGTAACACTGTAAACAAGGAGAATAACGGAATGTGAAAGTCAAAGGGATTTTAATGTTGAATTTGTCTGGTATGCTGTCAATAAGGTCTCTATAATTAACAACTTTTGGTAGATAAATAAAATAGGCCACTTATTGATAATATATCTCATTAGCATGACATTAAAAGTTCTTTTAGAAGTTTAGCTACATTCACTCCTTACTATATCCACTCTTGTTTTACGTGGTATTATAAAACTAAATATACAATAGCTAAGGTAAAATTTTGGTGTTGTAATAAGCTGTGCATATAATTGACGTTTAAATATATACATGTGCTACTTTGTTATACAGGAGTCTTGTTTTAGCGGATATACATTTCATGTAAATGTCATGTCAGAGCCGTTGTTTTATTTTGTTATGGGCAGTTTGTCTACTTTGTAGAATATTATTTAAAATTGTTTTTGTGAACTGTGTTATTTATTAGAATTATTCACATTTTATGAGATCCTGTACAGCCATCAAGTATAAGCTAGACGTCAGTCACAATATTCATTTAGTAAGTGGATCGGATCTTGATATTTTAGTGTTATTTAGTTGTTATTAGGAAATCTAATTCCAAGACGGGATTTATCATTTTGATCAACATATCTTCTAGTTTATATTGCATAATATTGAGCCACTTTCGTAGACAAACAGCCTAAACTACAGATGTAATTTATAACTAAAAAGAGATTGCAGATAAACATTTCTGTTGTATGTAAACTGTGTTGACTGTGTTCTCATCAGTGTTTTAAATTGATATTATCCAGCCAGTATGGATGTATCTGTAGACTAGTCCTATCGGTTTTAGAACTGAAATGATGCGAACGTAGCCATAACGGTTACAAGCCATTCTTTTTATAAAAAAGGTTGTTATATTTTGTTTACATTTGATACGAGAAGTTAGTCGAAGTTATAGCCTACATCGAGTTATGATAATAAAAGTACAGGTAATTTTAATCACTTTTGATTATTAAGATTAACACAATATTTTTAAAGATGTAGTTTTTATTTTGACATAAGATTAACATGCGTTTCTTTTTCCTCTTTCCTCAACATTTTTTTTTGTAAAGTTGTTTTACAGATATAACCCAAAATGGTTATGTAGATTTTAACAATGGACTATATCAATTGTAAATGTTTTATAATGAAGTTGAATTTTTTGGTAGACTCATAAATGCTTTAAAATTGTGTATATGTGCATTTTGTTAGTCGTGTACAGTGGCGGTGCGAGCCCTGGTTGGTTTTGGGAGACCTCATGAGTTTAGTACAATATCAAGTGGTTTACAAAGAAGGGGCTCCCGGAGACGCAGTCTCATCTTCCACTGGTAATCGCTCCGCGACTTGATGTATATGTTCCCGATATAGTGATATTTATTGTTAAATCAACGAATTAATGAAATTCATCAATTTTACTCTATGAAGACCTAATTAGTATAAAAGCAAATTATCATTTTGACTAAAATAAATGTATCACCTGAAAACACGTAAAGGAACTGAAGCGTCGACTGTTGTTGGCGAGCGTTCATCCTATTTTGCCAAATAATATTTCCGTTCTCGAGTGAGTGTAAAATATATATTTAGAATTGAATGAGTCCAGATGTAACTTCACTTTACCGGCAACATATACATAAAATTGAATTAATTAGAAATCAAAAGACCAAATCACCAAGTGATGAATCATTTTGCGTTAATTATTAAGTGTATTGCATCTGCCCTTGATATTATTTGTGTTAAAAGTAATGCTTTTATTTTTAAATGTACACAATGCCATTTTGCCTAATGTTATTATAAATTATAATTAAAGAAATTGCTTTAAAAGCACCAATTTTACAATGCATAGTTCTATGACCTGTCTATACATTTTATTACTTTATTTATTTCTATCATTATTTTGTATTGTGGTAAATTTTACCAAAAATAAAAATACTAAAATGTGCTTTATATTTTGTTTTATTTATTGATCTTATTAGGATTTACAATCATATTGATATTTTTAACACATTCAGTGCCCTCGACGCACCTGTGCGTTCAATACATTAATGTATAGAACGCACAGGTGCGTCGAGGGCACTGAATGTGTTAAAGGTGATAACTAGTAGATACTAATCTTTTGCAAGCAACTAAGTCTTACGTTAAGCGAGCCCGGACCTATTTGTAAGTGCTTTGTTGCGTTTTGTTATGTAATATTAAAGTAGATTCTCCATCTCAATTTGAACCAAAAACTACTCACAAGTGGTGAAGTGACAAAGAAGTGTATGCAGATGTCGTTTCTTGGTATCGACGTAACACAAAAAAAAGGGTATCGTTTTTGTCTGACCCCGGAAGTTAAACGAATTAGGCTTCGTTTTCTTATTATAAAAAAATATACAGATCGACCAATCGTTATGCGGATGTTCAGCAGGGATTGCGGGGCAAGCGGTAAATAAGGCACCGCGGCCTCGACTCTCTATACCTACTATATAGTATATACTGTGTGTAGTCTTTGGCCTCGACCAGGTGCAGTGATCTGATCCAATGTTCGAGGAAACAGGATCCTTACAATGTCGTTGAAAACGAGGTACAAACGAAAAGCTACCTACGTAAGTCTTTATTTAAAGCTGAAGAGCAAGACCCCAAATATTGACAATGCAATACATGTACTTGTTCTCCCAACGCACGGTGCAACTGCCATCAGTTGCGATATCCCAGTAATAAGATGCCGCCGTGTGAATGCCCGCTCCATTTTTCTGGGTGATGGTAATTCGCACTGCGGGTAGAAATGTGTCAAATTAGACTTTATTCTAAACGTAGTAAGCATCTATAGAAAAGCGCATGTATTGTAATACAATAGGCGCTACTAGGTAGGTAATCTAGGTGGCCTTGCTGACGTATTTGAAGAAAAATAATTATTCGGTATTGCTCGAAAACCCAACTTGCAGTTCCAGTATGTTTGAGAGTAGTTGGTAGCTAAATAAGTACAGCAGGAAGGTAGCAAAAAGTACTTACTGATGTACTTGAAGGGCTTGTTCAGTTTATTTAATCTCGTTAGAGTTTTATCGGTAATATTTGAAATCCATTGCGCGCATCGCGAGTGGCTGTATGTATTGCCGCCCAAACACAGCTCTATATTGTCCCTTACAATTTTTTGCACGTCTTCGACGTTGAATGTTACATCCTGAAAACCGTTTGTAGTATTAAATAAATGTTCGTACGAAGTATAATCCTTTCTGTGCCATATTTCAATACCTATATCAATTATTATGATCGGCTTGTGAGGCTCAATGCTAGTCTATGGGACTCGTTTATAATACCGAGATTAGCTAAAATCCAAACATTAAGAAGGCTAGTCGGAGATTGTAGTTGTCAGTTTCAAAGAACCAGAGAGCGCGCTGCCACTGCGGTCCACCTGCCCGGTCTCTGTTATGTACCTAGATAGTTACTTAATCGACACACGACAACCGTGCAACCCAGTTTCCTAACAGGCATTCCCCGTAACCACGAAGAACAGGGGTGTTGGTGGTGACAACAACTGAAAAATATTTATAATGGACAATAACTACATGTTTTTTATTCATTTACTGGAAGGTACCTAATAAAATTTGAAATAGACCAATCTAAGCAAGTACACTTTGATACGCCTATTTTAGTAAATTTTGTGTATCGGAGAGATTGGAGCATTGGTGAGTAGTTCAAAAATATTAGAAGGTACTTACGTCATCATCTTCTTCTGCTGCTTGTTGCGCCGCGGCCGTCGAGCTCGCCGCTGCCATGATACGTTAGTGATTTTGCTTCGTGAAAGTAGGTAAGTAAAAAAGTCGTTGCAGTATAGCAAAAATCAATAGTACCTTGTACAGTTCAATAACAAACTATCTAAACAATAAACATAAATATTAACTGTCACTTCCGCAATACAAACTTTTTGAAATCAACACGCTATGCATGAAGCTCAGTTACAGCTCAGTTGTACTCGGCCTTAAAGCTTTTCTATTCTTCACTTAAGATACGAAGGTACCAAATTTCTTAGAAAAGAAGTACTGTTACTGTTAACAAGGAAACCAAAATTATGAAAGTAAAATTCGCAAAAAGAAAGCCTTTGAATTATTTTTAAATATGAATTTCCCGCTTTGTGGACAAGCACAGTGCAACTTCTTAGAAGTTTTAGCTCATAGTTTTAGTAATTTTATTAAATTGTTTTATTTGAATTGCATTAGTAAAATGCAAATTAATATTAATTATTTTTATGTATTCCGATTTTAGATTGACCATCTGCTATTATATTAGCCAATAGGTAATCATAGACTTTTTTGTCTATGGTCAGATAGCAAACTAGCAAAGCTGTCATGCTTATGTCAACGACGTGTTTCTAAACGAAAATTTCTCATAACCCACTTGGAGCTTTTATTTTTCTTTATTGTGTTTTTGGTATGTTTGTGTTGAGTTACAGCTTATATTGTGTGAGGAAAAAATCTCGCGCAGGTTAAATAAGTGATAAAATGACATCTTAAGTGAATATGTCGTTTTTGAGTTGATTGTGAACAGTGTAAATTAATGGAGCTGAAGGTCTGGGTCGAGGGAATACAAAGGATTGTTTGTGGGGTTACTGAGACCACAACTTGCCAGGTCAGTGTAGAGTTTCTATTTTCATGATTATACCAGTGACACGGTTAGGAAGATATGTGAAATCAATTTCACTTTTCGTAACTTTCGATGTTTGTTAATAGCACAATATTTATTTACACAGGATGTAGTTTTTGCATTGGCTCATGCCACTGGCAAAGTGGGCAGATTCACACTAATAGAGCGGTGGCGAAATAATGAGCGCCTTCTAGCGCCACAGGAATATCCCCTAAAGGTATCTTGAGTTCTATTTATATGTCAATGAGTTGCACAAATTATGAAACAACTTTAAAATTTTCAGTAACTTGTTCAGATAGTAATATTAAGGATATACTAAATGTAAAAATTGAACAGTAATACAAAGTGATCAAGTTATTTATTTCATTGTAATCTTGCAGCTTAACATGCAATTCCATTGACATTCACCTGTTTTTAGATCCTAATGAAATGGGGAGAATACTCCAATGACATACAGTTTATATTAAGACGGTCAGACTCTGGCAACAACCAGAAACAACAACCTACTAATAGTTCCAGATCTCCTATAGGAAATGGGTAAGATTTAAAAGTCCTAAGATTAAAACAAAATTGTTTTAAATGCTCTTGTTATAAAAGTGCTGTATATTTTAAATTGTAGAGGGTCTTTGAATGCCCTTTCAATTCCTTTCACTGTTTTTTAAATACTTTCATCTTTGTAGAATGTGAAACATATTCCCTTACATATACATTTATTTACTTTTAGGGGCCATACCACATCAAATCCTAACATGGTTGACACCCAAAACTCTCCAAATAGGATGTCAACAACACCAACCTATAGTAATAATAATCCAAACAACACATCACCTGGCAACCCTATTGGAGTGGTTAAAGGAGTACAGCAAGCCAAAACACCTGAGTCTGACAGCCCTGTGTTGAAAGATGTCCCACCTTACAGGTAGCTATACACAACTATATATAGGTATTTGATTATGAAGTAACAAACATCTTCCCGGGATTTTCTTTTCATCATCAGCTTTTACTTTTAAAAGAAACAAATCGTTCTATTTTTACAATATTATCTAAATAAAGTGTGTAGAGTGTTAGGATATGAACTCTGATGTTTCTTTTTACCTTGTGTGACTCATCAAATTCCTGTTAATAACTGTTAGGTCAAATGATGATGTATGATTCATAAATAAATCAAATAAAATTATTAGTCATTAGTTATAAAAATCTGCTTTTAGCTAAAGCCTCTACCTGTTATTTCCTTGTTTTTAAGGGATAGTCACAGATAGGCACCAAAGTTCTTCTACTTAACAAAAATTATTTGAAGTCCATTACTAATGACCCCAAATTTAAATTGGTAATGATGATAATAGTATCTCCTCCCTGTGTATGTTAACACAAAATGTGTGTGTCCCGCTTCCATTTACTTTGTTGACATATTACACTATGTAGTTATCAGTTTGCAGAGCTTAAGAAACAAATATTTTTTTTTTCATGTGTATTAATAAAATCCTTATCCATGCAAAGGAAAGGAAAAGTTTTTTAGTCTTATAATTATTAATGAACTTTTGAACAGAGTTCATGTCAGTTTCATCTTCATAAAATATCACTTTATGGAATCTATGAAGCAAAGTGGTACATTCTTTAGTGTTGCCTATTGAAGTGGTGATCTATTTTGAACTTTTGACAGGGAACCGCCACCGCCATATCGTTCACCTCCCCCACCGTCTCAAGCTGTAAGGAAGTCTCCAAACCGCATGCGTCCCAACAGGCCACAGCACATGTCTCCCGTAAACTTGCCAGAAGAGAGCCAGGAGAACAGGAGTCCAGAGGCAGTCAGTTATAACAATCAGTATAGGGAACTGGTTTCTCTTGTCAATTATCAGAGGGAGAAACTGTCGAGTCAACAAGTTGATCTTATAAAGGTGAGGCATGTTGACGCAATTTTAAAGATTGGTTCTGTTTTTTCTTCTACCTTTTTCAGGGGTCTTGTATCCCAGACCCCTTTTTTGTGCAGGGAAAATGATCAAATGACTTCTCTCTGGCCCAGGGCGAGAAGAGGAGTGTCCGACTTTTACTGAGTAAAAATCCCCCTCGTTCCTTCTCCAAGTCCAAGTTGAGGCCGATACACCCCAACCCCGGCTTAGCATTAGCCATGTTAGGCCCCATCTGTGGTGGTCTGTTGTATCCTTAACCCCTAATTTTTTATCTACAATTATGTGTTTTTATATGGATTGTAAATAACAGCACTAAAGTACATACAGATTTATAAATAATCTATTCAAACTTCACTACATAGCTTAGCTATCATACTTTATATAATGAACCAACTACATTCTATTTAATTTATATTCACTCCTTACATTTTTGCAGTACGACGCTGAGATCGGCTTCTGGGAAAACAAAGGTCGGGAGCAGGAAAGACAAGTGGAATTATTACAACAACAAATTAGTTCAGCGGACAACCAACTGCGGATCAGTACTGAACAGGTAACTAGTACATTCCCACAAGATCTGTTTAAACACATATTTATCTACTAACAAAACATTGTTATCTCAAGTTACACGCATTAGATTCACACGGTTTCTTTATTCTGTTTCTCATCACAAATATCATAATGCACTCTACCTACTAAGTGATATGTTTTAGTATTACTTAAACAATTGTAGCAGATTTTATCTGTATCAACATGATTGTATCTGTAGATCTAATGGTTTATGACCATCTCTGTTATATAATGGGCAGAAGTAAGAGTGAATTGTATTATAAAATTATATTGAAGCATATTTTGGATATGTATAGTTTTTTTTATAAACACTAGATTTTCATTATCAAATGACTTCTCTCATCTCAACCTGGGTGGAGCAAGAGCGAGTGTTAGCCTACTTCTTACTAAAATCCACTCCAGAAGATAAGGTATATTATTGCGCTTGACTCTCGCAACTCTATTAACTGACAAAGTAGTTTGCTCTAAGAAAAGCTATAATTTTTCTAAATAAACAACAACATTTTTACATGTTTTATGTAACGTTAAATAATTTGTCATCATTTCAATTCATTTGTTTATGCAGGTACAAGCACTGAACTATGTAGAAGAAGAGAGTGAAATAGTAAAACAAAATGAGAAGACGATAAAGTCTGAGATTGTACTGGTGCGCTCCAAACTTGCCAACTGTGAGACGGAACTGTTGCAATGTAAGAACAAGATCCGAAAGCTCATGGAGGAGATACACAATGAACAAAGGATTATCAACAGTCGCCATCAGGATAACAGGTAAGATACTGTGTGTTTGTTCAAATAAAATTCAGAAGACTGGAAATATGCTTAAATTAGCTAAGAATGTGAAATAATACCTTTCATTATTAGTAGGCAAAATAGCTTTTACTATAAAATGTCATAACTTCACTATGTACACTAAACTGCTGTCAGATTATATAACACAATAATATTCTGCAATAGCAGTTTTCACTTTTTGCAAATAATCATAAAATTACCATTAGTAATGTTTTTTGCCAATTCATAAAATTAAATTATACACCATTATTTTTGACCATCTATTTACTTTTTTGAAGCCACTCAGATTATAGTACGCAAGAAATATTTTGTTTATCTCTTATTTAATCGAGATTTGAATTTTAACCAATTTTAAATCTTGATTGTATGTAACTAAGGTAATAATTAGAAGTACATACTTACTTGTGTGAGAATATAAATGTATATTGTTCTTTTGTCAGTTAATACTAGAATGGCAATTAAATGACCTTGGCATTTATTTGTTTAGATTCCACCTGGGATTTGTATCGACTTTGTTCTTTTAGATATTGTGATAGTTTTTTTTTATCTGAAACTTTTGTTTATATAATGTACTTCAATATTTTATTTCAAAACTAATACTTTATAAATTCCTATATGATTTCTTTGTTCGAAAATAAACATTATAAAAAAATTAGTACATATTACAAAATTCCGAAATAATATACCGAACGACAACAGGACTTCTATCTACAGCTTCTCAGAACGAAAGTCGTGATACTATGTGGTGATTTTCTTTGCATATTAGGCAGTCGCTGGAGCGATCAATGCTCGCTGAAATGGAGAGTTTACAAAGTCAGATACAGCAGGCGAAACACGCGACTGAAATCAACAATCTCACAGCAGAGAATTTGAAGAGAGAGGTGTGTATTCATTGTTCGTTTTTGTAGTTGTTACTTATAGAAAGTTTGCTTACAAATAGCGCCTTATCAAATAGTAACTGATAATTCCGTAAAAAAATAGGAAATAATATGAATTTAATAAATTTATTTCACAAAAAAATAATGTTGTGTCTCCACACTAGAATTTTTTCTTGTCTCGTAGGTGGTTTTTACAAACATACACAAGCCACCCAGACCCGAAACATTAAATAGTGGATCACACAAAGTGTTGTACTGTGCGGGTACCGAACCTACGACAAGTTGCATAGCAGCCAGTTTCTCGGCTACTGCGTCAACCATGCAGTCTTTTACATAATGATGATCAATAGAATAAATAAGTACTTATTTCTGATTCCGTAATCTAGAGAAATCAATGGCATTAGGTCAAAAGGTCACAGCTTATCTAGGTATACTTCTATTCTATCTATACTAATACTTCAAATCGATTTGACAAATTATTTCACTCTTTAAGACACTACCCACAGTGAACATATACTAAAAATATGTTCACTGTGGGTAGTGTCTGTCTGAAACAACGTCTACGAGACACAGTTTTTAGGTATACAAAATATTTTGTTCCCAGGTTGGAGTTCTAGAAAATGCCATAATGGAGAAGAAGCGCCAAGTGGAGCGGCTGGTGCAGGAGATGAAGGAAGCGAACTTGCAGAGCCTGACCGGTAGTGTCGACGAACTGCGCCATCCGTTGGACGGTATGTATGTACAATTACATAACACATCACTCTGCTTCTGGTATTTTGCTCTTGTTTAAGAGACTTTTTGGTCGGGGGTAATTTTTAAAATGTGCCTAGCTTGTATATACATACTTACGCAAGTTTATATGCATATGGTGTATTATATATTTTTATAGTAGATATTATAACTATTTAAGTTACTATTTATTTTTTATATTGTACACTTGACGAACGGTATTTGAAACTCCTACTAACAGCTTTATCCAGAGGTGTGGTGTCTGTAAGAGTTTGCCTTGTGCGATAAGATCGCCTATTTGACAATTAATTGTTGTAACTTGGTAAGTTATATACATAACTGATTGCGAGAAAGACGGTGCAGCGTACTGACTTTCACCTTATAAAATTTTTTCTAGTAGTCAAGGTCTAAAAAGACAGCTTTTGTGCTTTCTCTTTTTAAGTTGTAAAGTTTTACGTCACATAGAATTTTTACATTAACAAAAAAAAAAAAAAACCATATATCACTAATTAGTAGCACCTGTCGTAGACTTTGTCGTGTTATGAATAAGTTTTCCGTATAGGAGTAGCGTATGTTTTGGTACCTTTTTTGCTTCAGGAGAGGCTATTCGATACACAACCACCAAAAGTTTCCCATTGAAATAGTCACCCAACAAATTTTCAATAGAGAGATATCACAAACATTGCGTGGTATATACATACTTAAATGTACAGAAAACAGATTAATTATAGTCATTAATAAGTAACTACTTTTACTCACGAGATACAGCCTTGTGGTGTATATATGAACATAATATGTATACTTAGATTGATATATAATTATAATACAAAGGTGTGTGCGCTCTCGTACACACAAAAGCGCGCGCACATTTTGTCTAAGCGGATGTTGCGCCAAGTTGGCAATTTCTTGATGGGAATTCTTATTCTAAGTTACAAGCCTAGGCTTAGTTCAGATATCGCATAAATAACAGAATGGTACCTTATTTTTTTTGTGAACTGTCTTTCCTAAAGTTTAATTTGTAGAGATGAAATAAAACGTTTCTATTATTTTTATTTTTATGACGTCATGTTATTTTATTTCGTGTTTTTATTAATTGGTTTGTATAAGTTAGTTATTTAGGTTTTAATAACTGAGTATAGATATATTATTTGCATGCACAAAGTGTATTTTGGTTTAATTGATTTTCCTGTTGCACATATGCAGGAAACAAATTTCTTTACGAATATGCCTTTGTACCTCTTTTATTTGTGTATAATGTATAATTATGTGCGTATGCGCATAATTAAATAAGTAAATTGAATTATCTTAATAGTTTTTGTTTATTTACAGGGCTATGCAAGGCAGGTAGTGCTCGTAGAATCATCGGGTCTCCGAGACAACTAGAGAATGCAGCGCCCACCAATAAAAATCCTCACGGTGTTTGGGTATAGTTTCCAATGAAACATTACTATAAGATCGGCCATTCATGTTCCCCCTATTTAAATGCAACGGCCTAATTTAAGTAGCGAAGCAATTAATTAGATCAAAATAGATATAATATTTAACTGGGTTTCTGAATTAAATTGACAAAATCTAGACTACAATGAGTGTCTACTACTATCAGTCATAATTGAGTGTTTTTCTGCAATCCCTACCGTTATTTTTAATTTTTGACCTCAATGGCCAAAAATATGTCTCAATGGTGTCTTTGCTAACTTAATTTCGATTTTAAATAAATTCAACAATTGTTTAGTCATCATTTTTGTTAGTATGATTTAGAAACCGAGTATCAGTGCTGCTATATAACGTGCACGATATTATCTTGTGGTACTTTCTATAGCTTACGGTAGCGGTTAATTTATTAGTATTTGTGTTCAAATTAGTGTCATATTTAATTATTATTTTGTCACAAATTATTTTTTAAATAAGTGTGTATTGGAATTTTTAATAGAATGTACCTAAAAGTATCGGCTTGATATTTTTACCTTACACCGAAAGTATTATTTTGTCTTGCCGTACCTATAGTTAACATTTTTTGATATTGATCGGTATTGGATTTGTTGCAACAAATGCATTTCAATTGTTGACATTATTATTTAGTTTCGTGTATCGTGTGTTGTGTTTTGCGTGAGTTTTAATAAAATGCGATGTGTAATCGTAGGTTTGATACTAACACGTTAGTTACAAATTACTCGCAATCAGTTATCCATTTCAGTATCTAGTTTTGTAATTTATCCCATCTATTATTGTGTTCTGTGTGATTGATTATTTTTAACCAGGAAATGAGTGGATGAGCTATGTTTGAGTAAATTTGAACAAGCTCGAATGCTAAAATGTTTCACAATTTTAAGCTGCAGATACTTTTACAAGTTGATTACTTCAAGAAGCAGCTCAAAATTGAGGAGTGTTGTGTATAAGTATTATGCCTGTTGTACTGCACTGTAGCTGCAAATAGGTGTGCTAAGTTAAAATGAATTATCAATGTACCATTTCAATCTATTTATAAAAATACACTTCACTATGTTGCGAATCTCTACGACCTATATAACTGTTTTAAAAAAGTATTTACACTATGATTGATTTGCAATATAGATACTTAATTATAATAATAAATCTAGTCGAAAGTTTAAGCCATTGCAATATTTTATAAACAAATATTAACCTTGATTTTAGAAGCATTTTAAATATAATAATGGCATTTATGACAAATCAAATTTATTAATATTATAGCGTAATAGATGTAGTATGTACGCGCTGCATATTATTTAGATGTTCTATGAGACTTGAAGAATATAGTATGTTTTGTTTCCTACATGGCAACTAATTGTAACTAGACGATTTGTGTATACTTCATATTATAAAATAAAGGACATATTGTATACTGAATTTTATGTTTTACTTACATTTGTTAAAAATGTTTTTACAACATGCAATGAACAAAATGATTACCTGTTTTACAATATGAATTCTCTTTCGTTTTATAACTATTTTGTTGGACTTGAAGACATTTAGATAAGAGTTACAGACATTTTGTTATGATTGTCCCGTTGCTCTTACTCCAATGTTATAGCTTCTGCAGAGGGATCAGATTTAGAAGTTATTTAATTCAAATATTTTTAGGTTCGAATATCTGCTAGATTTACACCCGGTTTCTGAAAGGCTTGTCAACGCTAAAATTAACTACAACCGGTTTCTGCAAGGCTTGTCAACGCTAAAATTAACTCTGTTATTAAAATATATAAAATTAATCTGTTAAATCTCTTGTCAAGTAACCTGATTGGTTGTTGATAATTCAGTCAACCAATCAGATGAATTGACAAGAGATTAAATTGATTTTAACATTAATTAATCGGCCTTTCGGAAACCGGGAGTTAGAGGGGCATGGAGGAAAAAATCTTGTTACTTTATCCTTATACGAAGAGTAACAAGATTTACATTACCATATATATTTATTTTGTTCTATTCTAAATTTTGCTTGCAAGTATACGATAATATTTTTTATCACGTGAATATAGAAGGCAAGGCAGCCAGATTATATTGCGTACATTAATGTATATCATTTCTAGGCTAATGGAAAAACCGTGTTTTCTTGATACTTATTTCTTGAGGCAGCGGCCAGCGTAATATATTATGTCGAGGTTACGCTAAAGATACTACTGTGATACATGTGCACCCATATCTAATCTATAAAAGTACTGATAGTGGGATTGTCCAAATTTTGTGAATAACATAAACACTAAGTTTGAAGAAACATGTTTATTCTATTCAATTTAGAAAAATAATAAATAAATAGTCATCGTTTATACGCGGTACAGATTAATGTAATATATTACAATAAAACAACTATGCATTATTTATTAATCCTTATATTGAATATAACTTATTTAAAGTAAGAAATTAAATCTGTCTGCAACTATTTAATTATAGAATACTTTCTATTTAAAGTTGCCATATTGCGTATCTAAGTTATGCCGTACTGTACTTAAAGTTCCGTATTTGACCGTTACATAACTAATATATTTACAACATTTCGTCAAATCGCGGAGTCTATTACAACATAGATTCATTTACTTCTATCTTGAACTGTTGTGGAGATTCAACTAGTCATACATCAATTAATATCGCAACTTACTGTTACGACCACACGTCACATAGAAAGAACTCAATATTCATAAAATTTAAATCACATTTCAATACTTGAAAGTGTTCCAGGCAAATTGCCTATACATGGACTAGAAACAAGTGAATACTTTTATATTTCATTTCAATTTCGAATGTTGGAACTTGTTCTGCAAGGGTTAGGTTGTCACTAGCAGCTTACACTCTCACTAAAGCTACTTATTTGAAGATATTAAGTTAATTTATCACAATTTGATACCTAGCACAAGCACCATCATGTATTGCAGTTGTATTCACTGATTTCAAATCCACATGAACCTTAAATCTAGATATCTAACGAGACTATGCTTTCTCTTCTTTCTCCCTGTTATACCGTTCTAGCTCTTTTAAGAATTGTCCTTTAGGTTTCATGACGTTTGGTCTATCGCCACGACACTTTGGACAGAACCACTTTCCTTTTGGTTTCGTCGAGAGTGACACGCATGAGAAGTGGAACCACTCTATGGGGCAGAGATCATTGTCACAGAGAATCATTTCGCCAAATGATATCTGATCGCAAAGACAGTATCGCGGCTCATCAGGGTCGATGGCATCAGTCTCCTCCGGTGGTGTTTCTGAACGTTGTGCCGCTTGGCGTGCTTTGCGCTTTTTCTTCTTGCCGATACCTAAAGAAGAAAATAACCATTAGTACATTTGATTTCATATAACATGCATGACAATTACACTTGAGATTGATCTACATACCTTTCTTGTGTGTGGTATTGTGGGCATGCCTTTCACTGTCTCGTTCACTAGAGTCAGCCCCATCTGTAGCCGCACCTGCTGTTGTTCGTGAACGTCGCGCGCGTTTTGACCAACGCTCACCTGTTATTGGAATTAAAAGATTGATGAGTCAATTATTATTGAAATTGTACATTTACAAATAGCAATTAGAAGGTAAAAAGAATTTCAAACATACCTCCGGTCTTATCTCTGTCTACTTTTTCTTTTTCCTTTTCATTGCTTCGTTCAGGTGGTGGAGGCGGTGGTGCATGTTGTGGTGTAACCACTGGAGCTGGTGTCTCCTTCTCCACACTCCTAATAGACTCTGTGGCTGGAGCAGGCTCTTCTTTCACTGTACCATTTGTCTTCACCTCCACACAAGATACTGTAGACAGATATAGAATTAGTAAACTGACTAAAGCTTGGATTTGGGTGACTCCTGGCCTATTGCCAAACTAACAAATGTGACACAGAATATTATTTAACAACATGCCTTGTATTTGTTTTGGTTATAGACAGTAACACTAAGATAGTGAATGTCACAGACAACTTGGTTATTTATTTATTTATATAGATATGATATTATTCTTAATGCAATGATAAGCAATTTTAAGGTTACACTTGGTTATAATTTCCTGTCACTTAACCTAACATGTAAAAATACTCACTTAGCTTTTTATGATCTGCATCAAGGGACCTTTGTTTGTTGTCAATTAGGTCTTGTAGTATCTGTACAACTTGTAATTTCTCGTCGCCTATCTCTTGAGCTGCTACTAGCACAGTTTGCAGCCGCAAAGCCGCTCGACTTCGGCGGCGTTCTTCTGTGTTGGCTCCTATACATACAGCTAGGTGCTTTTCGGCTTCTCGAAGACATTCTAATAAAAATAAACACAATAATATTAGCACGTAGCAACCAAACAACAAATAGGTTACCTTCACAACACGACTTGCCTATCAAACAACCGTATATATTAAACATAATTCAGAGTTTTTACAACCATGTATAGAAGTAACAACAGGCTAGTGGTTTTGATGTTATTTTGGTCCACTTGTACTCACGAGTCGTAATCTATACATAGGTATGCATACGTAATGAGGCTGAAAGGCGAACGTCAACAATATAGTTACAAGCTGTTGTATCAATTTTTACTAACATATATAACTGTTAATACTTAGTAAGAGGAATTCTATCGTAAAGGACATGTAGAAATTGGAAAATTACCTCTGTATGTTACGTCAAGCTCTCGCATACGCGATAAATGCCTCTGCAGGTCATTCGGAAGATTTTCAACGCAATCTAAGTAGTTTTCGACGTAAGTCGCTGATAGCAACGCCTCAGTGGATGTTTGATTCAACATGGTTAAAGAATGAGCACAGTTTTCATAGTGATAAAACAAGCGAAACGAACAAATCACTTTGAAAGCGAATAACAAGTCCACTGCATTCAACAGCCGTCCCGTCAAAGCATCATTTTGCGTTCAGAAACGAAACGCTCATGTTTTTTTTGCCATAGCTATTTTGACGTTCTATGAAAAAATGGTGATTGTGAAGTATTTTTTGTATAAGGTTTTTATAATGAACTTGTATTTTAAACGAGTACATTTTTATATTTAAAATATACATCTATGAATCTATCTATATTTTCTAGTATCCGTCTTTATTCAACAATAAAATGAACATTTACAGACTAAAGAGGTAAAACATTTTTGAAGAATTAAAGTTAAAAATAAATGTAACTATAAATCTTTTATCTAAATATAAATAATAAACCACTCCGACAGATCTATTAAAAATACAATGTATCATATTAGAATATTTTAACATGTGCACACTGTAACCGAACAAGATCATCTTTGTCCTAACAGATGTCGCTACTATGCACATTGTACTAGGTACATGCAAACTTAATATAAATAAAATTGGAGACTGTTTTCGTGGTTTTACTATTAGGCATTAATGAAATATATGGTAGGTACATACACATTTTTTTTGTCGGTCTGTCTCTGTGTTTGTTCTGAATATTATTGGTTGGTAGCTGATGTAATAGGTAGGTACCTAAGAAGTAAGTTAGGCTACTTTCATTATAGAAAAAATCTCTCAAAAATATAATGTTGTCGCTCGATAGCGATCGTGAACGAAGTCGCTAGCATCATGCTAGCGACTTCGTTCACAAAAAACAATTCATTACTTAGGTACACAAAAAACAATTCATGCTAGTAGCATGAATTGTTTTTTGTGTACCTAAGTAATAAATGTATAATTAAAAATATAAAAGGTACTTTTTTTATGGAATAGGTGGCAAACGAGCAGACGGATCACCTGATGGTAAGCGATCCGCGCCGCCTATGGACATCCGCAACACCAGAGGAGTCACAGGTGCGTTGCCGGCCTTTTAAGAAGGAATATGCTCGTTTCTTGAATGTTTGAAGGTCGTATCGGTTCGGGAATACCGCCGCCGGAAGATCATTCCAAAGTTTTGCTGTGTGGGTCAGAAAGTATGTATTTTGTTGTTTAGGATTATATATCCTGATTAAAAGTCTTTTGCGTGGTAGGGTCGTAATTATCGGCATTACTAGATAATTATCTATGTAGGTATGTATAACTATACATATTTACTAGATATGCGTACCTATAGTGACTAACATACTTATCACTAAGTACATACTATAAAACAAAGTCGCTTAGTCTATCCCAATGCTTACATCATTGAAACTACGCAACAGATTTTAATGCCGTTTTTTAATAGAAATAGTGATTAACGAGGAAGGTTTATATGTAAGTATAATAACATACATTAAACTGTGGAGGAATTTATCTATCAGCATTGCACCAGTGCAAAGCCGGGGCGGATCGCTAGTAGGAAAATTATAAAGTTATATTTTCTTTTTTTGTGAGGGAAAAATCATCAAATGAGTAGTCTCGTCTCTATTTTTCATCAGTTAGATTTTATTTTAATTAAAGTCACAATTTATGTTCCTACATTTAGGGTCTGACCTGGAGCGGTGTGGCGTTTTGACAGTGAAGGCCTTATTGACAAAAAAAAAACACTCTTTCCTAACTCCGTACCCAGTACCTTTTTTATATGATAGGTCGGCAAACGAGCAGTCGGATTATCTGATGGTAAGAAATCAGCCTATGGATACCCGCAATAACAGAGGAGTTATAAGGGTGCGTGACCGACTTTTTCGGGATTCCCATGTGGAGATTTAGGGATTGGGGTGGGAAAGGGTTGGACATTCACACAGCGAAACACAACGCTATGGTTGTTTCACGTCGTCGGTTTTCTGTGAGGCCGTGATATCATTCCGGTCGATTTTTATTATTCAACCCTTGTTACCCTTGTCCGTCTGCAAACCGACTGGAGTGTGAGAAAGATTGCGTTATGTCGCCTGGCTTGTTTCGTTACTAAAAAGAACTCTTGTCTATAGAAATATTGAGAAATAAATATCTGAGTTTTAAATTAGTATCGGAAACGGCTTTCCGCACCCTGGCCTGGAAGAGATATGTGTGCGTGAGGTCGCCGTTTCCGATCGCGTCCCTGGGGAAACATCTGTGACGGTAGGCTTAGGACAAGCAGAAAATATCGCTACCGTATGATAAGTATGTGTACTTGCACTTTTTTTGAGGGGGGATATTCTATCGCCCAGGATGAGACAAGAGGGAGTATCAGAGTCTTACTGGCTAAACACCACCCACTTCCTTGTCCAGCTCCCGGCCGAGACCGCGATATCGTATTGAGCTTGCCCCGTAACCCCGGCTGAATGAACATCAGCCCTGTTAGGCCCCACTTGTGGTGAGCATTTGAATACTTAATTGTGTATGACATTATAGTAGTTATTTCCAATTAAATTAGTCTATGTCCTTGCCATTCAGCAAAACAAAACATTCGACAAAAAATAATGCAAATGTTAATTATGCAGTTTTGAATAAGTCCAACCTGAGATCATTTTTCTAATAAAGGACATGGTTATTATACTAATATCAAATAGTCGAGGTCGATTTCCACCTACGACCTCCCACGTGCACTTTGTCATAAAACCTAAATGCAAAACGACAGTTTGCCGTACAATCTCGTATCACCAGCACTGGCTTGAAATTCTAAAACATTATCTTCATATAATAAATTATTCTTTGACAGATGTCACAAAATTTCATAATTTCTTAATTATGCAGAAGTGATTTAAAGCTTAATTTTACTATTAACTTTAGGTGTAAGCAAAATTTTTTAGTTAAAATTTAATAAAATTGTGTTTTGTGTGTGTCCCAATGTCATCCACTCTTATTTTCGTTGGTCTTCCTGAAGATTCGAAGAGCTCTATTACGAAGTAAGTATCTTTCTTTGTATTCTATTTTTGCACAAACTGTTGTAGGCCTGCCGCTTGAGCAGACCTGCTATAATACGGGGTTGTACCTACTGTCTAGTCGACACTAGTAATTTTAAGACCGGCACTTAGGATTACCAAATATTAATGTACAGCCGAAAAGATTAAAAAGGTTTTTAAGAAAAAATATTTGCTTATTGGTACCTATATAAACAGTTGTATGGATTAATCTATTGTAACGCGGCACCCCAACGTAGGTATTTTGTCGGACGCATGCGTGTAAAAAACGTATAAATTAGGAAGTACCTATTTAGCAACTTAGTTGTTAACGTAAACTTACATTTATATTTGTACACATAAACCTGGATGCAGCGTCTAATGCGTATGGGTACGCTCGTTATCCACTCAAAGCGCCTGAACAATATTATTATGTAATTTTGCTTTTATGCGTTTTGAACGAGCGTTTTAATGGGTCATAAAATCCATTTTAGAATCCCTTATATTATTTCTACGTATAGTGGATCACCGGTTTTCGATGCATATTGTGCGGTTAGTGGACGGCCACCTTCCGGCTCCAAAATCTGAACTAGATTGAATGGTAGAAGTGGTTTGCTGTCCATAGGTAGGTAAGCTATACCTGTACTTGTTCCTTCCTTTGTAATTTTTATGAAGGCAATAATGTGATTCTCACTAAGTTGGTAGTAATAAAGACAACTGCATTTAATTATCTGTTTCTGAGATGCTAGGGTCAACTTGCCATTAAACTATCGTAGGCAGGTAATTTTATAAACAATATAATTTAAAGTACATTATTATATTTAATGGTCGCACACAGGCGGTACCGTGGTACTTGCCCCGCTCTAATTGAAGGTGTAGGCAGTTCTAGATGTATTCTGTAACGTGGGCGGCGCAAGCGCACATTTGCCTTGAGACTCCCAATTAGGGTGAACGACTGACTTGTTTATGTTTTAGTGGCTTATTTGACTAAATTAGGTGTTATTGTGCAATATTATATTGTTCACTACTACCTTAAAAGACTAAGTTCGTGTTTTCACGACCTTGTAAATTGTTGTGTTTAGCTTGTAAGGAGGTTGGTGTGTAGCTTATAGTTTCGGAGTTCGCGGAATTTGTTCATTTGTTCAGAAGGATTGATAGAATGATTCACCGTGATGCGTTTAATCTAAGTAGTTTTAGCGACGATATGGTTTCGCATAAGATAGGTGGGGACGGTAGAAATTAAGTAATATGACATTACTTAATTCTATATATGCATTATGGGTTAGCGTCGTAGCGCAGTGGTGGACTTGTTTTAAATTCTTTACCTGCCTAGATCCATATAAATACAAGAGTGATAAAAATTTCTAGGATCATTCATACCTACATATTGAAGTAAGTGACCAGTGGCATCTTGTTGCAAGTAAGTGTCAAGAGATTTCGATTTCCGGGTACCTATGTTCATTTGTCTGAAACGAATTTTGCTTCCGTGCCCACGTCTTATTTTAGTGTAACTTGGTGTTATGAGTTAACTTTCCAATAGTTATTTATTGGTAATAAGTCATACAATTGTTAAGTGGAAACATAATGAAGAGGATTACTCCTTGATGTAGGCGTAGGTATCGCTTCGGTACAAAGTGCAAACTTAACTAAATGAAATATGGCTTCGCGAACGGGTCAGTAACCCTTTAGCTACAAATGAAGTACCAGCTACAATCATTTAAAAGTAAAATAATTTTTAAATCGTTTTATTATCAGTACTTCTGATATTTTTCTTCAAATAATGTATTTTACTAGGAAAGGATTTGTAATCTAAAATGACACTACGTATTGTATTATACGAGTAATTTATTTATTTAACCTCTTGTCTGTCGAGATGAGACACAATAGAAAATACATTGTGTCTCGCTTATGTGTAGGTATATACTACCATCTTCATCTATATCTAGAAAAATCATTAGACTAGTGATATTTAATTGCGCGCCATGCCGTGTGCATTGTTCTGCGGAGACCTTATACGGGCACTATCCAGGTGTCGCTAGTGTGTCATTAGAGTTGCGCGGCTGTCACAATGGGTCTGTTGTCTTTGACAATTCGCTTCGCTCATTCGCCGTCGCTGGAAGGAACCCGTTTACACAATAGAATTGTCTCCTTAATTTTAGTTCGACGTTAATTTTCGCGGCCCTTTCTAATTCTTGCTGTTTGAATTTCCTTTGCAATATCCTCCTCCTGTCTGCTAATTTTATAAAAGTTAAGTTGCATTTTGTTATTACCATTACTTCTAGAGGAATTATTTTATATTAAATTTTTCGAATTTATACATTTGTATACATTTAAAATGCGTAAATGGTTTATTGTTTTCGTCATTTTCATACTCAAATACTCCGATAATGAAAAAGCATAAGTGGCAAGACATATGATAGATGATTATTATTTTTTGTAGATAGTTAAAAAAGTAATAAAGGTATAAAAATCTCACAAAGTATTTTGCAACGGGGCTAGTATAGATATAGAAATATTTTCGGACCGTCTGGATGAGAACAAGTGAATGAGTAGTCTTTCACCTTTTTTCTTATTTCTGTATTTGCACACGAGCTGTCTCGCTATTTGAAGATAAAAATACGATAAAACAGGCAACGATATCCCATCAACATCACAATTTAATCGAGTTAGCATTCAAGCCGCGTCGCCGGCGCGATGTTAATATTCCACGCTATTACCCCGATCAATTATAGGTAACAGGATTAGGTCCTTTGCGCCAGGAGTGTGGTAACAGGATCGTGCGGGTGGCGAAGCCCTGCAGCGTCCTCCCACGCGCTGCACACTGCACACACGACGTAGATAAGACGCACCCTGTCATTTGTGCATATTGAGTTTCCTTTAAATACGATTTTGTGTACACCTGCTATGACTGCTGTTGTTTGAGGGTCTTCCGGTTGAAAGCTAATCAGCGGTGGTAACTGTTTGTGTAGGGGTATGTATCGAGGCAAACAGCATTAAGGGTAATTTTGTCATTATTTGTTGCATATTTGCAGTTATTTTGCTTACAATTAGTTGATTTATTTTTATTACGATGCTGAGGAATAAAACTTTGTCTTACTTTTGATCTTCTTTCAAAATCATCAAATGACCTATCTCACCTCGGCTTGGCGAGAGAGAGTGTCAAACTCTTACTGACTAAACCCCCGATCCTTTTCATGCTCCAGACCGAGGTCCGGTATCTTATTGCGCTTGATTCGCGACTCCAGATCTTCTTTACTATTAACAATGACAAATTCAAACAACTAGACTTTAATTCGCCATTAGCTGTCTCGATTACAAGGATGAGTGGTCGTGGTACAAACACTGCGTCATTGGATGCTCCTGTCTGGTGGCTGGTGAAGCGGGGGCGGCCCGCAGTCACGCACGAGTCGACTCGTAACAATGACGGCACACCCTCACGGAAGCTGCCGCCATTACATGCTCTGCTACTCGTCCTGTCCGTCTGCGCTTGCGTTGCGGTCATCCGCAATCTTAGCTCCAACTATTGCATTCTTTACAAATCGATTGCTTTGAGCATTTTGTGCCAGGTGTTGATTTGGTTGGTGAAGCAACTTTATGGATTCTGCAGCTTAAACAAAGTCTCAATAATGCTCATTTTTATAAACTGCGGTAACAAATTGGGAATAATAAGTAGGTGCCTACATCTTTCAAGTGTCAAAAATTGGTGTTTCGGGAACAACTCAACAATTTGTATTATACATATATTTAAGTGATTTGAATTGTTATTTGTGTCGTCATATACTTAACCTTTTTTGAAGATTAATGCGATCCACCGACTTGAGTCAAACTAGGAAGTCATTCATGCAAATCGTCAAATCACCGGTACGACTGTACAGTTGTCACTTCGTCAGTTAATTCGTGGCGTGTGCCTGTCACAGATTTACGCTGTACAAACACGAATCAAGTATTAGCTTTGATGCACTAATTTATTTTTCTATTTATTTGAATAGGACGGTACAAAACTAATTACACTACCCAATTCTTAGGTAAAATACAAACTTATATGGAAAGCTATTGTCTGTTAAGGTTCAAGAAAAGATTATGTTAATTTTTAATGGCCTCGCACTAATTACTCTGATGTTGCGGGATTGTCTATAAATGGCGTTGATCACTTACCATTAATAAATTGTTGGCATCTATTCCGTACAATAATGTTCGTAATAATATTTAAATATTTAGCTATATCAGCTCTTTAGCTGGCTTGCGAGGCAAGCGCAATAAGGTACGGTAGCGTAGGCTTGGAGCAGGAGAAGGAACGGCGTGGTTCCTAGGCGTTGAGAGTATAAAACTCCCTCTCGCCTCACCTTAGGATAGAAAACAGCTACATTATCTTTGAATCGCCAGATCGAAATGCAAGACCCTTTTTCAAGTTTGAATATAATCCATGTTCTTACGTTGTAAGTCTTGCGGAGAGTGCAAATGGTTCTGATGACTAATAGGATTGTCCGAGTGTACGAGCACTCCCTACTTGCAATGTCATCGACCGATTATAGTAGCGACTTGTTTCTTTTGCTACAAATTCAGATTTATTGGCTAAATGTTTCTTTTATTTGAACAACTATGTAAGTATATTTTCTTTGTATGTATTGTGATACTCTATGGTCATCGTAAATTCCTTTTGTGATTGCTGTGCAGATAATCATTTTAATGATCTAGGTATTTCGTTCAGTGTCATTTATGTGGGCGAAAAGCTTGTAAGAGACTGAAATAATCTGTCAAAACGGTCCACCAGTAAACTATAAAGTCTCGACACGAATCCGGTCTCAAGATTTCCTAGATAGCGTCAGAGTAAATAAGGATGAGGGGATCGATAGTACTCACATAAATTAGAAAATAGTGTTTTAGTTACTGCCCAGGTGGTCGACTGACACGTTGACTAATATGGCGTCGGTTGGCCTGTCTTGCGCTCGCGCAAACGGTTTGACATTTCGCGGTCAATATTATGATACTTAAACACAATATCTGGGACGTCCCGTGTCGATATTGACGTGTTAGGCGATGAAATTCTTGTTCTAAGTGTTATACATTTTGTATTATTTATAAGGAAGGTGGGGCGAGTATTTTGGAATGCAATGTCGGTGTAAGACTTTTTTTCATGATATTTTGCTCGTGCAATTGTAGCTTAGTATGAGGTAGGCTTTTATATAGCCATTTCTTTCATATAAGTAATTCGTCCCCTTTCATATTGGACATTTCGAACCAAATAGATATATGTAACGGATTTTTGACAACCTTATTCTATTGGCCTCAGAACTGAACTCTCCCCGCACTGAGCAAAACAAACAGACTTTATTAGAAAGCAGGTATTTTAGAACCTATTCCAGCGCAAGAGTGCGATAAAATTATCAATTTCCATCAACGTCGAGGAAAACCCACATCAATAACAGTGAAAGGCATTCTTCTAGGGAATGTTATGTTCTTTTGATTGTTTGTTATTTGTGGCCTTAAGCCCCACTATCTGTTAATTGAAGGGTTCGATACAATGGTTATAAAAACAGAGATAGTGTCAATTAGTGGCGTCCCAGCGGCTTTTGTCTATTTCGGTCCGCGCCGGGGAACGAATTGATGTGCAACTATCAAATTAAGGAAAACTTTATAGTTTACTAATTGTTTCTAAATTTGTTGGGCAGTGTTTAAGGGGAAGAATGCTTTTTGTGAACTCGTCGAGATCATATTACAAACATGTCGAACGTTTTTGTATTAATTTTTTTCGTTGTATGGCTTTTTTGGGTTTCTTGTAGCTTTGAGCTTTCGTTATTTTTCATGGACTAGCAAGGATGTCCGTGGCATTTTTTTTTCACACCCGTCTATTACTTGTTATCAACTCAACTATCATTGCATTTGCAGTCTACTAACGACATGCGATTATCAAAACAAACCACACAGTTTTGCTTATCAAGTATTATAGTCTAAACTGAAATAATGCTACAAATGTTATCTGTTTACCGTTAATTGGACGATTGTAAGATGTTTATAGAAGAACAAGCGTTGATTACCAACTCCCTTTCATTTGCTATTCAGAATAAATGTTGTACTAAACGGGCGACATATTTCTTTCAAACTGTGACTGCAACTATGTGGCCGGCAACTTATTACCTTTGTAACTTCATCGCGGCTATTTACCTTAACATTTTTGGGTATGTATTGCCAATATACCTGCGCAATTAGTTGCCCATTAGTACAGCCACAAGTTGCCCGTTTATAAACTCCTTTACAATATACAAATCGAGAATCAACAATTAGAAAGTTTTGTTAATTATAACTAAAGCAGTTACTTGTTTACTTGTACTGTCGGGTTTAACTAGATTTTCTAGATATATTCTCAGTTTAAACTGAGTGTGTGGGTGGTGGTTTTAATTTGCAAAGCGAACCGGTGGCGTTTACGTTAAAATGTAAGTGAAAAATATGGGAGTTTGTTTGGAGAGCGAGGAAGCGAGTTGGACCAGTATCGTGTCATCCATTTTCTTATTCAAATTACAAAGTATAGACACACGAATACTTTTTTAAAAATTGTTTATTGCTTAGTGTAAAACCCAGAAAAATTATCTAACTTGCCTCAAAGACGAATTAATGTAGAAAATCCTGAAACTATGCAACAATTTTAATCGTTCATAGAAAACGCATTCTCGGAAAATGATTCTCGTTCCCCACTTTGAATGTGTGGTCATTTAAAAATAGTCTGTACTTTGTATGGTAGTTTCGCGAAATGACTGAGTTTCTCTGTCTAATGAGCTGTAATGTTGCTCGTCGATTGTTCGCTACCGTGCCGCCTTGGGCGACTCAACCGTCAGACTGCGATCTACCTGAGATTGGCAGCTCTTAAATTTAATATGCCTGAATTATGTAGAATTGTTTGCCGGGAAATGAATAGATCTATCTTTACGGCCGTTTTATTGAAAATGCTTATTTATGTAGTTCGCTTTTATTTATGTATTTATCTGAGTATTACCTGAGGCTTGGTGTTCGTGGCTTAAGCTGTGGATTTACAGTTCGCTCAAAAGTTCAATAACACAGAATTAAGTATTCAAAGTATTGGTGGTTTTTGGCCAGTAAGAGTCTGACACTCTTTCTCGCCTATGCACAACAGGAGAAGTTATTTGATGATTTTCCCTCCTCAAAAGAAGAGTTATTAAAGTTAGAATACATTTATCGTCTCCCCTTTTAATCTCGTGGGTGGCGTAAGAGATGGCCTTAAGGAATTACATATTCGAGGGAGGCAGGGTGACAGCATTGCTTTGGCAAATCGGCACCTTTTATTTAAACTGTATTCTCCAGTTGTCGAGCTTGAGATTGTGATTGTATACCTCTCACTCTTCTGAAGAAAAAGCTTATAGGGTAGCAGTGGACAAATTTTTTTAATTTTAGCGCCGCATTAAAATTTATTTTGTGTCGTGACTGCGTTTGCATGTTTCCAAGACCAGAAACAACAATTTGTGTATCACAAAAATTACTATTGTGTATGTTCCGTACGGGAGTCGAACCCACGACACGTTCAATAGGTATGGTGATGTGCGAAACAATAAGTACAAACCTATGGACTATGCTGATGATGATGTGCAAAAATAGGTACAAACCTTCAAGAAACGTGTGTATTGCTTTTTAAAAGGCCGGCAACGCGCCTGTGCCTCTTCTGGTTTTGCAGGTTTTCATCAACAGCGGATCACTAACCATCAGATGATCCGTCCGCTCGTTTGCCTCCTATTCCATAAAAGAAATAATCCCCAAACAAAATCAAAAAATGTTTCCCTCGTCCTTACCTCCCTCCTTTTCCTAATATTCCTATCATTATAGGACCCTAACGTCAGTTTCCGGTTGCTCCAGAAGTATCGCCGATACAAGTTTACTTGACATCAACTCCTTCGTCATCACGAGCCTGGATTACAACGAGTTGGGGTAAGTCTATCATGATTATCGCAGTCAGACACAGTAACAATTGAATTTTGTAGTCCTAGATGGCGCTAGGAATGCATTAGGTCATTGCAGATGTAAAGATGTGGCCTTCTTTGTGATTCTGAAGTATTTCAAAATGGGAGTAAAGCGGGATCGTAAGAACACCATTATAGATCTTAGGAGACTTTGAGGAGAGTTTATTCATCCAACCAGTGACTTCAGAGAAAAGGGTAGACGATATTACATGATAAGTGAACACTGTCAATGCAGTATTTACTTGTCATTTGGTGCCGTGCACAGCAAGGCTTAAGTGCCGAGAGAACCCGGTTTTGCGGGTGCGAATGGTGGCTACCAGGTCTTTTTACTAAAAAAACGTAGCATCTTTCGCAGTTTTACCCCGTTCCTCAGTAAAGCTAGGCCGGTATTTGTTAAAATATTTGTCTTAGTATTCAATGTGGAATAAATAATATTATTTATGTAGTCTATTCGAAACTAAATACTTATAAACAATCTTAAACAAAATCTAGACTGCTAGTTTAGTTATTTACCTATATTGTATGAAATGTTGATTCTTATGGAATGCATATTATACTGCATTTTATCAACTCACTTTTATTATTAATATGCAATCGATTTTGGTTATCGGAAATACGTTCATTGTCGGATCTGATTGGACATTTATTTGTATTGATTTCTTTTATAACATATATTACGCGATATTTGTTAATGTGCAGTGGACATGTTTATGATCCAGTTTACAAGGATTAATCCGGATTATTGAAGAAAGTATGAGGTGAGTGCATTACTGTATATCGGTTTCTTAAAAATAATTTATTTAATGCCATCGATGAATGAAAGTGGTTTCGTTTTCTTCATCAACTAATTATTCAGTATGTATTATTATTTAATGATGAAACGTCATCATTCTCTTGATCCTTTAAATAAGATTTTATCAGAGTAAACGATCTTCCACCTCTCGCTAAATAGGCTCGTATATCGGTACAGTTACATCCAAAATAATTTACATGCTAATAAAAAAGAAAGGCCAATAAAGTGCCCAATTATAAAGTGAGTAATGATTGTGAAACACCATGTTTTGTGTTTTTTTTTTAATTTACATATGTACCTATAAGTAGGTAAAGACGCCAGACCCTGACTATCGAATTGTTTTATTTGATTTTAGATTTTATAGAAAAGCCTTGAGGTTGAAAGTCTATTAAAATAATTGTCACTTGGGAGTTGTTTTAGAAGTTGTCACGTTCTATTTCCTATATAGGGTGCTCTATTTAGTCGGTAGCGCGAAAATTGCCGAAGTTTTCCGAAATTAGCCGAAGGCATGCATACAAAAAATAAAGAGGTTCTATTCTAGTTAGTAGTTGATAGGTTGGTAGTATCTGTGCCATAGTGACCTATTTCCCATGGATAATTTGTGTTCAGTTTTAGTAAGATGGTACTTAATTTGTATTAATGACTGAGCATTTTTAGTAGTTGAGTGGTTTTAAGCGATTTTGTTCAGAACACGATGTTTTGTGCGAAAAACTGGGTTGAGTTCGAGTTGAGTTGGATTGAGTTACCTTAAGGAGCTACATACATCTGAGAGAATTTAAAATTGTCGGAAAATGAAAACTATTTTTGAATCATTGTTTTAGATTCGACCATTGTCTAAATCTTAGTAACTGTATGGAGTTTGTACAACTCTTTAAGAGATGAGAGTCTGTAAGAGAAAGAGAGCGAGATTTTTCGTTATACCCAACACAAGTAATAAATTAATAAAAATAATTTGCAATTATGGTTTACTAGCTGGTCGTGGTGGCCCGGAGGTTAAGCCGCCGCTTCTCATGCATGAGGGTGCGGGTTCGAAACCTGGCAAGTACCAATGTGACTTTTTTCGAGTTATATGTACTTTCTATGATTATTTAGACACCACTGACATACGGTGAAGGAAAACATCGTGAGGAAACCTGGACTTATAATTTCTAATTATAAGTTTGAAATTGCCAATCCGCCTTGAGCAAGCGTGGTGATTAATGCTCAAACCTTCTCCGTGTGAGAAGAGGCCTTTGCTCAGCAGTGGGTACTTATAGGCTGATGATGATGATGATGATGCCCGCGACTTTGTCCGGGTGGTATAGTGACTTCCTTCAGATTTTTGGTTAAAAACTATCCTATGTCCTTTCTCGAGTTCCAAACTATGTCTGTACCAAATTTCACACAAATAGGTTCAGTAGTTTAGGCGTGAAGAAAGGACAGACAGACAGAGTTACTTTCGCATTTATAATATTAGTTTGGATTATTCTTAAATAAGGGCTTTGAACTTTACTAGAAATTTTCCTAGATAATATACATATGGTTGGATTAAAGATATGTACTGTACGTTATACAAAGCCGACACCAGTAGCATAACAGTGCTTTTATTATTTTACTTGTAAATCGTATGTTTTATAGATTCCTGTTATTGCAGTAAACCTAGGAGTACACTGCTTTGAGTACCATATGAAGTGTGTGCGAGAAAAACAAACGCCATTTTAGACTCTATTAACAAGTGAATAGAATAGATTTTCAAAACTGGTAACGTTTACTTATGGCTTCGTCTGTGTTCTCGTAATAAAAGTAGTACTAAAGTAGGTACTCTATATGTTATTTCGGATTATACGAGTAACCTGCCTTTTAAGTTAAATTGATTTAAATATATAATATCATTTTTTATGAAGCCAACTTCCATATATTTATATAATATTTTTTTTTATGTGATAGATCGGCAAACGAGCTTACGGATAACCTGATGGTAAGTAATCAGCGCCGCCCATGGACACCCGCAACGGAGGAGTTACGAGTGCGTTGCCGACCTTTTAGGGATTAGTGATTTGGAGATTTAGGGATTGAGGAAGGATTGGGGGTGGGGAAGAATTGGGCCTCCGGTAACCTCACTCACACGGTGAAACACAACGCTGTGGTTGTTTCACGCCGGTTTTCTGTGAGGCCGTGGTATCACTCCGGTCGTGCCGACCCATTCGTGCCGAAGCATGGCTCTCCCACACTGTATTATAAACGCGAAAGTTTGTATGTGTGAATAGATGGATGGATGTTACTGTTTCATGCAAAAATAAACTGAAAAGAGTCTGAAGTCTAGCATAACACAGGCTGTGTTTTTGACCCTGATATTGATGCTAGCTAATAATATTAAAATAAATTTTAACGAAAGAAGCTTTTTGACCAAACACAGACCCCAGACAAGGTTATTTTTATTGAAAATATCTTTTAAGATAGTAAAAAGAGAGGGTTTTTAAAAAGCAAAGCATGTTTATTTATATAATTAATGTGAACCTCAGTCGCATAAATAGAGTATAAGTATGGGGATATGTTTATAAAAATTTTATTGTTTTCCAAATCAATCTTCTGCAAGTTTAAACTCAGCCTTAGAACAGAGAATGTGTTAAATTAACATGATCATAACAATATATGGTGTCAGAACTATTAGCCGTCCAGGTCCGGGATCAGTGCCTGCAATTAAAGTATTTCACACAATATATGGAGTTGTGCAATACACAGAAAAGAAAGAAAGAAAAATGCATTCATTCGGCATCAGACATGAAAGCGGGGAAGAAAAAGAAATACAACATAAAAAAACACTGACAGATTAATTATAATAATAAAAACATGCTACTTTGGGTTGGCAGTCATGCACAATCCGAATGGGTCGCCAACTCGGCAATTACTAAGTAAAATTTTACAATGTAGTTGTAGGTATTATGTTACGTAGTAATTGAATTTAAACTTCATTGAGGTTAATGCTTTAATAAACGATATAACGATAAAATTATCGCTAAAAATGCATCAATCTTGGGGGTTTAACTTACAAACTAACCAACAACTACATTATTGCGCTTGCAACCGCTGACTTGACTTCACCCGCCTTCAGTGTCAGACTCTTACTGACTAAAAACTCTCCCGTTCCTTCTTCTGCTCTAGGCTGAGGCCCCAGTGCGCCAAATAAGCAAAGGGGTGGGATTCAAAAGTTCCAAGCAAGTTTCCTACCTCGCTTTGGAAGGCCTGACCAAAAAATCCCCACGTTCCATCTAAGCCGAGTCCGTGGTTCTTTGGAAGGCCTGGCTTGAAGGCTTAGCATGAGTAGTAGGTACTCAGATTCTATTACGATTATCCGCAAATCAAGCATTAAGGACATGATATAACCAAGTACTTTACAACCTTTGCAAATTTTATCGAATTCGATGAATTCACTATAACCTTTACTGCCGTATGAGCCCATCAGTTTGGGCGGAATGGCCATAAAAATTATGTATCTAGTTTATAAGGTTACAAGTTGCGTTGTGCGCGGTGACATTGTTCAGGATCAGAATGGGATGACACGCAGTCCCGTTGGGGCCTGGCACCAACTGATCCGATTGGATCGATACAACAAATATTGTTTGCGTGATTGATGGTCCCAGCTCAAGCTCTATTGTTGATAATACAATTTCGGAAGAATGTAGACTAAGACGGCCATTTGATTTACAAGCCTACTTCAAATTTAGGGCAGGTGGTGTGACCTGGTCTGCTTGTGCCACTTATATGTGTGTTAAGTCGTTACATCTAGTTTTTTTTTAATAAGTAGGACAGAGTTTTGGTATCCTCTAAGTAGGTTCTGATAATGTCTATTACTTAGAATCCTACAAGGAGGTTGGTTTTATATAAAAATATAACAATGAAACAATGAAACAATGAATTTATTTCTGCAAATAGGTAATATACGTTTACGTTACTATGTTTATTAGGCTAAACTACAAAATATGAAAGTAATGACTGGATGCGGTATTTAATATAGTAATTTTAGATTCTTCCTTTAAGTGCATTACTTGGTAAGTACCTAATAGCGTTTTCTAGTACTTTCTACGACTCAGATATAATTTTATATAGTTTTACGAGCTTCATATCTTTGGTATCTGAGCATCGTGGGTGATATTGTAGGTCCTGCAGCCGTTAATTCGTAACATTATCTTAAATTAGCCGGTAATGATATTAACTTCGCCGACAATTAGCAACGGAAGCAATAAAGGGTGGGTGTAAATAACGTGAATGGGAATTTGAGGCCTGTTTACAGTGACAGAAGGAGCGATTTTAGCTTTATAAGTAAGATACTGGTAAACGCCACAGGGTTTTTGAGAGTATTTATTCCCACCGTATATAAACTTCTGTTCTATATTCAAAATTATCTGGTTCATAACGGCAGACATTGTTGAAAGAGGTCCTATGTGTGGCGTTTTTTCTTTAATGAATATAACTATACTCGGAATTTTACATTGACATAGGAAATATATGGACTTGAAATACCTACGAAAAAAAGGTGCCTACCTACAATCCAAAATGTCGCATAAGATGGCTGCCGTTGCTAGGGTTGTGCCGACTAAGTATTTAACGAGTATCGATACAATTTGAGTAAAAGTTCTACGTAGGTATAGTTTTAGGGATTAGCCAGCTGATTAACGGTATTTTTTATGGGAAATCATCTAATGTCATCTCCGGCCTTTTTCGGGACAGACCGTTACTGACTAAAATCAACTCCTGTTCCTACTTTGCCGTCGGCCTAGCTAGAGCCCGGAACCCGGGGTTAACTTGGTCTCTTGATTGGCTAATGATTTTCTCAAGTCTAATTTGTATTCATATAATTCTACGTAAAGCGTCTTAAAAAAATAGGACTGTGTTTATGAACAGCGTTTAATGGAATGGTGAAATAGAAAAAGATAGTGTTTGTTAAATGTTTATCTTTATATATGTGGAAAACCTGTGAGTATTTGTGAAGTGCTCGCGCACAATTTCGGCGCGTCTGATTAAGCGATGATATCTTCGAAACTACGTTAGCACAAAATATCTCACTTTTTATTATTACGCTTGGTGGTCGCACTGGGATCGTCGCCAACGCCGCTCTGTCAATCGCGCCCGTATAATTATAAAACATGATAATTTGAACTTCTACTTATGTAACTAAAACCAATACCAAAATACTGACGTCTTACTTTAGCGTTACACAAAACTGCGGAAACATCCATTGTTAAAATAGATTATTTAGTATAATATATGTTGAATTTTAAATGGGAGATTATATCGATACTTTTGTGAAATGGTACGTAACTATGCCATATTGACATATTATTGTAAACAACAATTTTTTACTAAAACTGTCTCACAGAAAGAAATAAAAGTAAATATATATACTTTGGCAATAGATTAAAGTATCCGTGACATTTTTTTCTATCTACGTGGATAATTCTAAGTAATATTTGATGAAAACTGTTTACTAACCTATACAAAGACAATTGAGGTTGATTTTCATTCTTTTTTGCACCACACTGCACAATACAACACACAGGCTCATTGTTTTTTTGTTTCACTATATATATTTGAAGTTTAAAAAAATGGTTCTTTGTAATTTACTGAAAAACCGCAATAATTTAAAACATAAACAACCGTTTGACAGGACAACTACCATGAAACTCAGGTACTCTGAGCGCTTAATATGGCGGACATGGCACTTACCTACAACTTTGCTAATGTCAAAATGATTTGTTTCCATATTAAGCAACAACTTAAATATTGTTGTCCCTTTTGTCTAATACAATTATTGCCTTAGAAAGAGTGAGAAAAAATGATATTTCATAGTTTGTTTCATATTTCCCTCATATTTGTATGCATGTATACTTCTATAGTAACACGGCGCCTCTATATATTTTCTATCTCAATGGAATTTTATTCCATTCCAGATTTGACAATTTCAGTGTTGCAACATTATGACACGTACTAAATAGTGACGTTGCCAAATTATTCGATATGGAAATCGAATATTTCTGAATCGATTCCTCTCATTTATAAAGTTACTCTCGTAAACTAAGTTTATTAGGAAGTAAAATATTTCTGAACCGATAATTTAGTTTTGACAATTAATTAACGATCTGAGGCTTTTCTTTTGTGATTGTGTGTGAAATTAATAAAAAATGCGATCATGAAGGAAATGACAAATAAAACAGACATTTTATAAATTGTCGCCGTCATCGCTATGGCTATCGCTGTTACTTTCTGTAACATTTATTATGAATTGTGCCTGTGATATTTATTGTCAATTAACATATCTCGCTTACTCATTTTTTCCAATTCTTTGACAACATGGGATACGCATTTAGACCATTCGGTAGCCGTAATTTTTTAATGCCTTCCTGAAACTGATTCACTGATTGTTTATCGATTTTTGTGTTCATCACTACACTGTTATATGTGGTATCATTATTTTACAAAATGACAGAGGTCAATGTCAAATCAGGAGTCGAATTAAAATTCTGACTATAATTTCAATTTTCTTAAATTGTCAATAAGACAATTTCAGCAGGGTTATACTATTCATGTATTGTTTTCTATTAAGGATTGATTCTTCTCATCCATTGCCGCTTTCCAATATTCAGCATCAGTGCCTGGTAACGCTTTAATGAGAAACTAGCGGCCGGCTTGTGCTGGATCTTGCTATAACGTCTTAAAGGGTCCACTATATACCGATATTCCCCTTCTTCTCTTGAAAAATACAAACACGACAAAAAGTATCATCGAAATTGGTATAGCTATTGTTGAGTTATACGCTTACCAAATTTTTTTTGCCTTTCATTTTGATAGAAGATTATCGTATAGAATAACGTAGTTTATTTTGACCACTTTCTCCAGTATCCTGGGTGCCTTTGCAAATATACAATTTCACATACACATCACACCCAGACCCAGAACAACAATTTGTAAATCACACGAAGAGTTTCCGTGCGGGAATAGAACCTACTACACGTTGCGCGGTAGCCAGTTGCCCAGCCACCGCGCCAACAGTGCAATCGCTAAACTGGCTCGTTTATAATACCTACCTGCCCACAGTGCACTCACCCGACTTTTTTAAATCCACACCAAGTCACTTACATAAATATACATAAGTGTACGCTTGCACTTAATTGAATAATTCCACGCCTTCCTGTTGCAATTAAGCATTCTCAGTTAATTGTAGAAAGTAAAAGTCAATTACATATGAAACTATTGATTATTTAGGTATTTTAAGTCTGCGGATGTTTCCGTCTTTAGGATCGGATGTGTTGAGCGATTATCGTGTCTGGAATGTCATTGGGTTTAACTTAATTGTTTTCTAGTAAATATTTGTGAATAGTGGGATTTGGTTTGTAATTGGTACTTGAAGGAAAATAAATGCAATATTTTGCATATGTTTATGTGGTTTCAGTGCTAATTTTCGTTTGGTATTTTCCCAGCTAAGTTGTAGTTATTGTTGTTATAAAGTCTTAATAAAGCAAGGTTGCGATGAATGCCAGAATTTCACATTAAACGAGCACTATTAGTTTTTCATACGTTCAGCTGCTCTAAATCAAAATTTAAATATGTTTGCTCACGCTTTTTAATGATGATACGATTTAATAATTATGCCATTTTTTACGACTTGTAGACGTTTTGTACGATTACCTTAACAAAAATTTCAATATTTGTATCACTAAGTTCACAGTTCACCATCTTCAAACATAAACAGACTGACATACAACAATTAGTTATAACATTAGATGTACCTTCGTCTCCTCATAAATATCCGTTTCGCGCTCGGCGCTATCTTAATGGCCCGAAGTAATTTGTGTGGTAGCGCATATTTAGCGCTACTTGCCCGGTCCACAGGTGGCGATTCCCACTGAGATTAGAATGGCCACTAAAACTTCTGTGGCGCACACTTATTCTTATTTTGGTTGGTGAATCGTGACTGGACCATGCACGTGCAGCTCAAAACAAACCGTAGCCTCTGGTCTCAGTAAACGACCTTTCGAATCGACGATTCGAACGCTTTGTTGCCTATCCCCTGCGCAGTCACTTCTAAAGTTTTATACACTGGTTCGTAGTTATGCGGTAATGGATTTTGTTCAAAATGTGCGATTGTAACTTCGATGCGCCTACTTGCCTCCAAGGGATGATTTACAAACTGTTTAGTGTTGTCCAGTGCACTTGTTTCACGCTGCGAGCGTGACGTCACGATTGGTTCGAGACGAATAGCTCATTCGATTAAGGCG